CCAGAATTATACACATAAAACAGTAAAATCAGGTCATCACCTTCACCCTCTGACCTTAAATCCCAAGCTTTGTGAAATGCTCGACAGGTTGATGGCATTAAAAATGATTGCAGCCACATGCCAGAATACATCAGAAAATTCCTAAACAGAACTCATGAATTCACTGGAATTCACATATGAATAATCATTGATATATAATAAAAATTAACTACAAAGTTATACATATGCTTGCTAAGCAGAGGAGAAATACATCACAAAAGTATTAGCACAGCCTCAACTCCAGAATACAGAACACCCTCCAATGTCCTCTGCAACTTTTCAGATCTGCATCTGTATCCAACAACACAAAATCTAATCATACCGTATCTAGGTAATCGAAAACAGACCTAGAAATCAGTGTCCAGTTCCAGCATAATTTCTAGATGTCCTCTATCAACTCCACTGTCTCAGGATTCTTAACTGTTGGTTGTCTAGAACAGCATCTCCGGCCATTTTCTCTGCTCAAACACACATTTCCTAGATAAATCTATTTATATCAAAGGGTTCAGCCTACCTCCACATCTCCATTCTCTACTCAACAAAGCCATATCTGCAACTTAAATCTCTGAAATCCAGACCAGGATTTCCGGCAGCATGCTATACTTAAGAGTGAACAGTACATATACACTATAAGTATATTAGACTGAGTTTAAAATCAGCCTGCCAAAAACTGAACTCCTTATCTTTCCCCAGCAACTTGGTCTCTCCTCCTCTATTTTGCATCTTTATGAAAGTAATATAAATCTGATGCAAATAAGTTCTTTTTTTTTTTTTTTTTGCCCAGCACGGTATCCCAGTGACTAAGGTCCTGGCCTTGCATCCACTGGAATCTAATATGGGTGCTGGTTTGTATCCGGGCTGCTCCACTTCCCATCCAGCTCCCTCCTTGTAACCTGGAAAAGCAGTGAAGGACGGCCCAAAGCCTTGGGATCCTGCACCCACGTGGGAGACCTGTGAGAAGCTCCTGTCTCCTGGCTTCATATCAGCACAGCTCCAGCCATTGAGGCCACTTGGAGAGTGATTCAGTGCATGGAAGGTATTTCTCTGTGTCTCTCCTCCTCTCTGTATATTTAATTTTCCAATAAAATTTTTTTAAAATAATTTAAAAAAAGAACAAATAAAACTTCAAGGGTCCCTATCAAACTAAGTACTTACAATTTTGTTGGTAGGTAGGCAGCAGTGTCATCTTTATTTCTAATAATATCATTACATTTATCAAGTGTTTGAAAAACTGTAAAAGTATCCCCAATGCTATAAAGGGCTGCAAGATTTTTTGCTAACAATTTTCGTGTAGGTGGTCCAGGTGAACTACTTATTAATCCAGTTAATTGTTCAACAAGTTTTTTCTGTTTTTCCTTTACATCAGTCTGTTAAAAAAAAAAAAGAAAAAGAAAAGAACATCAACATGGTTTTTCTTATATATGCTTCTGTTACCTTTTAGCCAGTATTAAAATGACTTGGGGTTGGCATTGTGGTGTAATCAGTAAAGCATCCCATATTGGGGACCAGTTCAAGTCCCAGTTGTTCCACTTCTGGTCTAGCTCCCTGCTAGAGCACCTGGAAAAGCAGCACAAGATGTCCCAAGTTGTTGGGTCTCTGCTCCCATGAGGGACACCCAAAGGAGACTGCTGGCTTCAGACCAGCCCAGCTCTGGACACTGTGGTCATTGGAGGAGTGAACCAGTAAATGAAAGAATCTCTACCTCTCCTTCTCCCTACATAAAATCTGCCTTTCAAATAAAAAGAAAATAAACCTCTAGGAAAAAAGTGAAGTGTTAGATATATTTAACAGTGACCTATGGGAAAATTCTCTGGCAGAAAACAAGTCTTAAGTTTGAAACATGCCTATCATAACTGTGGTCCGAAAGGCCAATCATACAAGAGTGGAGTAAGAAAGTAGCAGAAAATAAAGTGAGAATGGCAGAAAGGACTAATCATGTGGCCTTTCGTGCTCCAGCACACAAACTCTGTATTTCATTTGTGGCTGGCAGAGTGGTGCAGCATCTTAACTCTCCGTCCTATGGCACCAGCATCCTACAGGTGCACCAGTATGTGTCCCGGCTGCTCCACTTCTGACCCAGCTCTCTGCTTATGCCTGGGAAAGCAGTGGAAGACCGCCAAGCCTTTGAGAGCCTAAACACCCATGGGAGACCCAAAAGGAGCTCCTGGCTCCAAGTTCATCTCTGACCATTGCTGATATTGGAGGAGTAAACCAGCAAATGGAATATCTGTTTCTATCTCTCTCTCTCTCTCTCCCAGTAATTCTTTAAAAAAAAAAAAAGAAAAGAAAAGCACAAGTACATGTAACTTACAAAGATTTCACTTTGCCTCTAAGGACATGCATAGACTCAAGGTGAAAAGACAGAGTAAGATTCCATGCAAATGAACTCCAAAGACAGCAGGAGCAGTCGTACTATCAGGCAAAATATACTTTAAATCAAAAGCACTAAATAGAATTAAGAATGTTCATTATGTAACGATAAAGGATTCAGCTCAGCAAGAGAAAATAACAACTGTAATACTGCAATACTAACTACATAAAGATTAACAGATCTAAAGGGAAAAACCGAATAATACAATAAGAGTAGGAGACCATAAGGGCTGGGGTCCTGGGCATAGAAGGCTAAGCTTCTGCCTTTGGTGCCGGCATCCTATATGGACACCAGTTCAAGTGCTGACTGTACCACTTTAAATCCAGCTCCCTACTCACAGCCTGGGAAAGCAGTGGAGGATGGTTCAAGTCCCTAGACTCCTGCACCCATGTGGGAAAACAGAAGAAGTGTCTCCAGGCTTCAGATCAGCTCAGCTTCGGCCACTGTGGCCATTTGGGGGAGTGAATCAGAGGAAGGAAGATCTCTATCTTTCCTACTCTCTGTAACTCTGCTTTTCTAATTAAAAAAACAAGAGAGTAGGGGATTTTAACATCCCACCTTGAGAAATGTGCAGATCACTGAGACAGAAAATCTACAAGAAAACAGCTGGGTTAAGTTGTAGCTGAGAGCAACTCTTCCTAACAGACACCTAGGAACAGTCCACCCAGCAGCTACAGAACACAGAGTTTTCTCAACAGCACATGCAATATTCTCCAGGAGAAATCATATGCTAGGCCACGAAACCAGAAAACACACACACACACGCACAAAACATACTGGGCATCTTTTACGGCCACAATGCAATAAAGCTAGAAATCATTAACAAGCAAAAATTATTGAAACCACATAAATAAAGTAAAATAAGATAATCTATTGCTGAACAACCAATGAGCTGTGAAAGAGACTAAGGACACAACTTAAAAATTTCTTGCAAGATTGAAAATAGAAGTAACATACCAAAACCTAACAAATAAGGCAAAAACAGTACTAAGAGGAAAACTTATAGCAATGCAAATTATTAGACACTATGGAAACCAGTATGGAGCTCCCTCAAAAACAATAAAATACAACTGCTGTCTGACCCAGCCATCCCACCACAGGGTTTACATCCAAAGAAAATGTTTTCATTTCAGGGTCACTGGCATGCCCATGTCCACTGTAGCACTTCTCCTTACAGCCAGAAATGGGTACAACCTGACAATGGGAAAGAAAGGCGGTTCTACACAAAATGGAACACGAGTCAGCTATATGAAGGATGAAATCTTGTCATGTGCAACAACAGAGGGGCCCTGGAGGACACAGGTGAGAGAATCCCAACGTGGGATGCGTGGTACCACCAGCAGCACCCTTGACCACCAAGCCAAAAAGCCCCCTTGTGAGTCCTTTCTGCTACATTCTGGAAAACCGGAGGTTTATTCTCTGAAAGAAAAGACTGAGAGAATCCCAGCGTATTTGTGGGCAGGGGAATCTGCACCAGAAATGGAGGGAGTAAATGAAGACTCACACACCTAGCAATGATCAACTTAAAGTGATGACCTGAAGTTTGCCTTCGAGCCACGGTCAGCTGTGCTGTAGACACAAGCCGAGCAACAGCTCAGCGTGAGGGGTGTTTCGGGTTTGCCACAGAATCGAACGTGGACGGATGAGAAATTCCCTTTGTGGGACCTTCTGCAGGTGCACGAGCGACCCGCAAGCTTTCCGAAATATAATCTGCATTTTTATTTAAATTACTAACACGTAAATTCCTACTGTCAATGCAACCAGAAGCAGAGCAACACCATACCTTGTTGGCAGCCACAAGGACTTTGTCAAGAAATCGCAACCATTCGAAGATGAAAACGGGTCTCTTGGCCTCGGTGATTTGAGCCAAAGCTTCTTCATTGAGCAACAGGCTGTGGGCTAACTCCATGAGCGACGTGGGAAACGCCCACCTGCAGTGGACAGTCGGAAGCACACACGGTCAGGAAAGGCACAGCACGACCTGGCCTTCTATCGGAGCAAAACCCCAACTTCTCGGAGGACAAATCTGAGAACTTGGAAGGGACAGTGGTACAAACCCAAAGGGAGGATAACGAAATGCTGCGGGAAAGATGTTTCTTCACCTACGACGTGCGCCCAGCAAGGGGTACGTCACTAGCCCACCTGGTCACCGAGACCCTCCTCCCCGGCAGGCCTGCTCACGCCCGGCGCCTTAACCCGCCGGGGCGGCAGCGTCCCTGGACCACCCCGGCCGAGGCCCGGCGCACTGCGGCCTGCCGGGCTCCCCTGACCACGCGAGGACCCCGAGGTCCTCCCCCGGCGGCCAGCCCCCCGTCTCCGGGTTCCTCCAGCTGTCAAACGCACGCGGCGCAGGCGAGAAAGCGGACAACGTCCCTGAGGACCTCGGATGCCCGTCCGCCCCTCGGAGAGCGTCCGAGGGAACGACGAGGGGGGCTGCGTGTCACTATGCACGCTTTGGGGGTGCAGGGGACGCCCTCACCTCCTAGGGCGACAGAAGCCGGTCAGCTGAGCTCCGGCGCACAGCAGCCGCCAAGGGACCCGGATGCCCCGCCTCCCGCACCCTGGCCAGGAGGAAGCGAAGAGACTGCGCGTGCGCGGAAGGCTGCTCTTGCGCAAGCGCATTCATCCTGTCCTCCTGGCCCCCGAGGCGGAGGCGCAGATTGGTTTCTTCTGCGCAAGGTAGCGGGCGCATGCGCAGAGCGCGCTCCCCAGCCGGTCCAGAACCTGTAGAGCGCTCAGGTAAGGGGATAGGGATTTCGGGCTGGAAAGATAGAAACGGTGTGTGAACCGGCTGCGACTACGCTATTGTCCTGTCTACCACCGCCTCATCCTCAGGTGGTCGTGTCTGTGAGAAGCTCGTAGACCCCGGGGGACGTGGGAGGTGAGCATCAGCGAGTTCTGGGGCAAATATTTGGTCCTGAAGCTGTTCTTGCCGCCTCTCTCCTGTGCATCCGACGACTTAGTCCTCGCCCCTTAGCTGTGTAGCGAGATACTCTGTGTGTATTAAGACACATCTGTGGGGAATATGACGGAAAAGAATTGATACAAGTTCCTAAGAGCTCTGGGAGGTGGAGATGGAAGTAACATTAGGATAGAAATGCAGGGGACTTAAGTGATTTGGAATTTGGGGAAGAAGGCAAGGAGCAGTTTGGATTATAGAATGTGAGAGCACAGAGAAGAATGTCGACAGTGCTTGAATACAGTTGAGTCGTGGAGATCATTCATGCCTGGTCATACATAAAGGGGTATTTCCACTGATAAACTAAATGTGTGTGTATTTATATATGCAAATATTTCATATATATATAATTTTTTTCTATTTGATTTATAGATACTTTTAGCATATGAAGTTGATCATGGCAGAAGATGAAGACGACTATATGTCAGATTCCTTCATTAATGTTCAGTAAGTAAATGTATACACTGAATGTGATGATGTGTAGGGCCTATGGAGTGCTAATGACATTGATTTTAGTCATGTTTAAAATGCCCTTGCAGAGAGATAGACAATGAGCTAGACAGAGTGAGACCTACCATCTGTTGTTTCACTGCCCAAATTCCTGCAACAGCCAAGGCTGGACCAGGCTGAAGCCAGGAGCCCAAATTCCATCTGGGTCTCCCAAATGGGGGCAGGCACCCCAATACTTGAGCTCCCAGTGTGTGCCTTAGCAGGAAACTGAATCAGAAGTAGTGGAGCTGGAATTCCAACCAAGCATTCTCCCAGCCAAGTATTAATCAGGCCCAACCCTGCTTAGCTTCTAAGATCAGATGAGATCAGGCCCGCTAAGGGTGATATGGCCACAGACCCAACTAAGCATTCTGTTATGGGACATGGGTATCTGCAGCCTAACTGCTGTAACAAACACCTAAGTGATGACATTGATTTTATTTTTAAGGATTTATTTATTTTTATTGGAAAGTCAGATTTACAGAGAGAAGGAAAGACAGAAAGATCTTCCATCCTATGCTTCACTCCCAAAGTAGCTGCAATGGCTGGAGCTGAGCCGATCCAGAGTAAGGAGCCAGGAGCTCTTCCAGGTCTCCCATGTGGGTGCAGGTCCCCAGCCTTGGGCCTTTCTTCACTGCTTTCCTAGGCCACAGGCAGGGAGCTGGATGGGAAGTGGAGCAGCCAGGACATGAAGCGTTGCCCATATGGCATCCTGGCACATGCAAGGCGAGGACTTTAGCCACTAGCCCATGACATTGATTTTATATGAAGTTGGAAAATTGTTCTTTTTGCCATGTGGAAGCACTATGCATACAAAGATACTGGAAACACCTTCCTCCCTTTAATGTTAACCATTTTCCTTTTATTGTCTCATCTAGCTACTGTTGAGCTTTTTTTTTCGTTATTGTGACCCTCATAATAAATTAGTTGAAACATATTGTTTCTGAGGTCTTGAACTCTATATTTTCTTTAGTTTGCTGCAATCTGGTACTATTTTCGTGACTTTCTACTAAAATAGGTTTCCTCAGAGATCACTGGTAACATTATCCATGATAGCAAGGATGGTCTTAAGAGTAGTACTGAGGGCCCGGCGGCATGGCCTAGTGGCTAAAGTCCTCACCTTGAATGCGCCCGGGATCCCATATGGGTGCCGGTTCTAATCCCAGCAGCCCCGCTTCCCATCCAGCTCCCTGCTTGTGGCCTGGGAAAGCAGTCCAGGTCGGCCCAAAGCTTTGGGACCCTGCACCCGTGTGGGAGACCCGGAAGAAGTTCCTGGTTCCTGGCTTTGGATCGGCATAGCATCGGCTGTTGCGCTCACTTGAGGAGTGAATCATCAGACTCAAGATCTTCCTCTCTGTCTCTCCTCCTCTCTGTATATCTGACTTTCCAGTAAATAAATAAATGTTTTTTAAAAAAAGAGTAATACTGAAATACTGAGAAACTAACTCAGGTAAAGTAAGTAGCAAGTGAAGAGAAAGCTCCCATACACTTATCTAAAATAACCTTTCCTCCCTTATTGTTCAGAGAAGACATCAGACCAGGATTGCCAATGCTAAGGCAAATTCGAGAAGCCCGTCGAAAAGAAGAAAAGCAACAGGAGGCCAATTTGAAGAATAGACAGAAGAGTGTAAAACAAGAAGAACAAGAAAGACGTGATATTGGGTTGAAGAATGCATTAGGCTGTGAAAACAAAGGATTTGCCTTGCTCCAAAAGATGGGATATAAAAGTGGTCAGGCTCTTGGCAAAAGTGGTAAGTCACATTCAGAACAGAACTAGCTAGGTGTTCCTGCCCTCTCAACGGTGAGCCTTTGATGGTCAGAACTGATGCGTTAGTCTTTATCCATCTGCGATAGATGAAGGCTTACACTGCTTGCTCTCTTACATGGTAGCAAAGATTATAGAGAAGTTTCATCTCCCCATGTCTATTTTAAAAAGTACATATAGCATTAAGAGCTACTTATCCGCCCAGCTTGGCTTTGAAGGCTTTAACAACCGGGAAGTGGATGTGGCTTACAATGCAAGCTGCGAGGAATGATGACAAAAGGTGGGCTGAGAAGTGCAAAGCAGTCGAAGGACAGTGAACAGTGAGGATGATGGCTGAGCAACGTGGCAGCTGCCTTAGACTGTCCAGTTAGAGAAGCTGGTTCCCGTCTCTCTTTTAGGGAAATGAAACTGTGTCATAAATTTGACACTGTGTATTTTCAGTAGCTTTTGCATTTTGATTTTCTTCTCCTCCCTCCTTTGTTGTAATTGTTTTCATCTTCATATAGCAATGCTTTGCTTTCCTTGAAGGCTTCCGTTCTCCTCGACTTACACATTCCAGTATCGTGTCTTCTTAACATTTTTTCTTTGTTTGTTTGATTTTTTTTTTTTAATTTTACAGACAGGGACAAAGCTCCTATGTGCTGGTTTACTCCACAGGTGGCTGGGGTTAGACTAGGAGTGAGCCGGAATCTGTTAACACAGCCTAGCTTCCCCATGTGGGTGCCTGGCACCCTGTTACTGCACCATGAACTGCTGCCTCAGAGATTCTGCATTGGCAGGAGGTTAAAGTCAGGAGATAGAGCCAGAAATCAAACCCAGACACTCATGTGGGAGGTGGGCCTCTTAACCACTAAGCGAAGTGGCCATTTCTGGCATTGCTACTTTTTAGAGTGGCATAAGAAGCTGTGAGCTAGCCTAATTGATGATGTGGAATTCAAAGTTAAGAGAAGTAATCTAGTGTATATACAAGGATAATTTTAAAAGTTCATGGAAAATAGACTTAAGAGACAAATTTAGTTTAATATAAAAAGTTTCAAATGTCTGTGAAGCTTTTTCATAACCTACGCCTTCCGTGAACTTTCTGAGTTCCTCCTCATAGACTGCAGTATTGAACATCACTTTAATTGTTGGCGATACGGACAGGAAAGGGGTGGAGGCTTCGCAAAGTTCATGCAGGATGCATGTTACATTTAAATCACAATTTTACATGATTTTGTAAAAAAATACGTTTATTGTATTTTTTAAAGAAAAATCACACACCAGTCTCCCATCTGCTGATTCATAATGGCTGGGGCTGGGCAGAGACAAAATCTGCAGCCAGGAATTCAGTCTGGCCTGCCATGTGAGTGGCAGCGACACAAGGCCTTGAGCTGTCACCTGCTATCTCCCAGCGTGCACTTTCACAGGGAGCTGATGGGTTGCTGAGTAAGCCAGGACCCAAGCCTGTGAATGACTGTGAGGCATCTTAACCCCACTGCCAGATACCTGTCTTTCCATGAGCTGTTTTGAAGCTGTTTCTATCAAGTCCTCTGATAGAAATGTTGGGAAACACTGTCCTTGCCCTGTAATTTAGGAAAGAATTTCTAAAGTAGTCTGTGTTTTGTTCTCTCTTTTAGGAGATGGTATTGTTGAACCTATTCCTCTCAATGTCAAAACAGGTATGGAATTATTTTTGTGTATTTTTATCAGCAGTAATTACACTTAGATGTATTATAAATATTTGGTTAATAAATACTTTTTTATGCTGGTATGGTTAAAGTTGTTATCACAAGAAGCCTTCATTGAAATTTTTCGTTAAACTTCTAACTTACAAAAATATGTGTAAAACTTGGTGTAATCACGAAAGCACAATAATTATGTTTGAAAGAGTTGGAGAAATAGACAGAGAGATCTTCCATTTGCTGGTTCATTCGTGGAAAGCGCCAGGGCTGTGCCCAGTTAAAGCCAGGAGCTTCACTGAGGTCTTCCATATAGGTGGTGGGAGCCTAAACACCAGCCCACTATTTCAGTGTACTATTTTGATATGTTGATGTGTCCTAAAAGTTAAATATTCTGCACAATACTTTAGCTAAATTCAAGGAAGAAAGTGTTTATTATACTCACAAGTATATTAAAGATTTTTGTATGATTATTTTAGTCAGAGTGGTTCACCCCCAAAATGGCCACAATGGCCAAAGCCAGGAGCCAAGAGCTTCTTCCTGGTCTGCCACATGAGTGCAGGGGCCCAACCCTTTGGCCTGTCTTATACTTTCCCAGGGCATTAGCAGGGAGCCGATGTTGAGTGGCGCAGCCCATAAAGGATGCCAGCATCATAGGCAGATGTTTTACCTGCTATGCCATAATATGTTTTGAAGTACAAAGTAAGTTCCTCATCAGAATTTTCTGTGTAAACAGGAAAAGGTGGCCTTGGTCATGAGGCGTTATTAAAACGGAAAGCAGAGGCAAAACTAGAAAGCTACAGAAGAAAGGTCCAGGTGCAGAACCAAGCTGCAGAGAGAGCTGCAGAACAATTTCGGTAACACTTTGTATTGAGCTTGTTCACGTACCATCTCCTCTTTCCTGTGGGATGTTTTCTGGTCCTTGGGCATGGAAAATGAGTATATAGATGGTTAATTAATACTTGATTTTATCTTCCAAAGAATGCGACTTAAAAATAAACAGGAGGAGATGAAGCAAGAAGGAGATCTGAAAAGAAGCCAGCGAGCCTGCCAACAGTTGGATTCCCAGAAGGCAAGCTTTTTCCTTTCTCATGCATGTTTTGGAACTCAGCATAGTTTGTATCTTAAGTCTGATATATTTAGCCTTCTACTTATTAAAGCTTTCATTTACTGTGCAGTACTAAACTGTAACCTGTGATAATGGAACCTGAGTTATCTGTATTATCAGTGAGAGTTAGATGGTGTGTTTCATTTAACTGCTGTCTGCTTATTTGGCTGTTGATTATTCAGAATTGGAGTACTAGGTGGGCAAATAGCACGTTGACCCCCTGCTTGGGATGATGGCATCCCATATCAGAGTACCTGGTTCAAATCCTAGCTGTTTCGTGCTTCCAGTTCACCTTCCAGCTAAAGCACCCAAGACGCACAAATGATGGCCTGAGTACAAAGGTTCCTGCACTCACATGGGAGCCCTGGATGGAGTTCCTTGCTCCTGGCTTCTGCCTGGCCTGGCTTTGACTGTAGCAGGCGTTTGGGGAGTAAGCCAATAGCTGAAATATCTCTCTCTCTCTTTCTCTCTCTCTTTCTCTCTCTCTTTCTCTCTCTCTCTCTCTCTCTGTCCTCTGTGTGTCCTTCTGAATTCTATATAAATAAACAAATCTTATAAAACAAAGACAAACTGGGGTGGCCATTCTGGCGCAAGGAGTTAAGTTGGCTCTTGAAAAGTCCACATCCCATGTCAGCATACTGGTTTGAGTCCCAGCCACTCTGCTTGCGGTCTAGGTTTTGCTGATGTGTCCTGGGAAGCAGCAGGTCCTGGCTCAGTGTCTGGGCTCCTGTCACCAGGGAGACACAGATGGAGTTCTCAGCTCCTGCCTTTCTCTGGCCATGCCAGGGCTCTTGAGAGCATTTGGGAAGTGAATCACCAAATGGGAGAATAAAATATCTGTCTCTTTCTCACTCTTTTTCTTCTGTGTCTCTATCTGCCTTTCATTTTCAAGAAAATGGGTAAATTAAATTTGAAATGTATGGAATTTCTGTTCTTTATAATATTTGATTAACCAGAATAACCTGTTTTCAGTCCCTATTCAGTTTCCCTGTTTTCAGTCCCTATGTGTTTCTAACTGGTAAAATCAAGGGAAAATGTTGCCCATTTCACATTTGGTTTTTTAAAAAATTTATATTTGCTTTTTTAAAATAGCTTTATTTAAAGTCTCAAAGTATACAGTTTCTCTCTCATACACTGCTGGAAGCAGTCACTCACTCTTCTGTATTCCCACGGGTCTTCATTTTGAAAGCGTTTTGTGACACTCTTGGTTTCTTGGCTTACATGTATTGTTTGTATTCATAGTGCGTCTTTCCTGTTAGCCTGTCAGCAGCAGGCTGGAGACAGGACTCTGATTGGCCTGTGCATCTCCACAGCTCATAGTACAGTTCTTCACTGTTAAACCAACTCTCCGTAAATACACATCCGAAGCAGGAATACATGTTGGTACAAACGCACTTGGGAGAGGGGGCTGGTGCTTAGCTGTACTTAATGAGACTTATTCTGCACTTTCAGAATATTCAAGTTCCCAGAGAGGCATGGTACTGGTTGAGGCCAGAGGAAGAGACTGAAGAAGAGGAAGAAAAGGAAGAGGATGAAGATGAGTATAAGAGTGAAGATTTAAGTGTATGTTGGTGCACCGTTTCTTTTCTAGCAGGTGTCTCAGCCTTAGTACTGCTCACATTCAGAGCTGGATAACTGTTGCAGGAGTTGTTCTGTGCATTATACTTGCTTAGTGGTATCCTTGGCCTCTGTCTCCCAGATGCCCTTGGAACAATCAGAAATGGAACGCTAACTGGCACCCAAAGGAAAAGTATCTAATTAGATGTGCTGCACTATAGGATTATTTTATTATCCCCAAACCAAAACTTTTGTGTAATTTTCCCCCTTAGTTTCACTTACCCTGCCACCTCAGCTTTATTTTTGATGACAGAATGGCTGCAAGTGTGAATTGGTTTTATTAATTCCTTGTTTTCTGCAACCCAAAAATGAAACAAAAGAGAAAGCACACTCAAAGTGGAGTGGGAGTTATTCAAGAAAGAACATTCCTGTGTTTACTTGTAAATAAGAGATTCATGGACACATTCACAGTTGGAAAAACCTAGGTGTTACTTAACTGGAAAGCCATTGATAAGAACCTTTATGGCAGAAGACATTGTTAACCTGTATCCTGTCTTAGGGAGATAGACCTTGAAGATAGAAGGGGTGCTTTAAGAATACTAATTAGAATAAGAGCCAGCTCTGAACTACTTTTTCAGTGTTGGTAAGTGGTGTCCCTTGTAGCTACTAGACTTGTGAAAGTGTCACGATGGCTAGTGAACTTCTGCTCTTGATATCGCTAATAACTGCTGGGAGTATTTAGCAGAAGCTTTAAGGCGTTGAGTTGTTTTAGCATAACCTAAGTGCCAGGATATCAAGGTTCTAGTCAATGTTAGCTACTAATAACTTGTGTTTTGTTTCTAGGTAGTAGAAAAATTACAAATACTGACTAGTTACTTAAGAGAAGAGCATTTATATTGCATTTGGTGTGGAACAGCCTATGAAGGTAAGAAGATACTTTCAAGAAATACTGAATATGCATGCTTTTTGGTTTTCAGTAAAGTTAGATTGCTCTCACGCATGCGTGCACACACAAGATCAAGATCAAGATCCCTTGTTCTACTCAGATGTGTGACCGTTGTCTTAAAGATAGCGGGTAGGGGTGGATTTTATGGCACTGAGGGTTAAGCTGACATTTGAGATGCCCACATCCCATGTCAAACTGTTGGGATCCAGTCTTGCCTTTGCTTCCAATCCAGCTTCTGCTAATATGCCTGGGAAACAGCAGATGATAACCTTAGTTTTAAGTCTGTGCTGAAATTCTGGACCTCAGCCTGGCTCACCCCAGTTGTTTGGGGCATCTGGGGTCAACCAGCAGTTGGAAGATTCTTTCTGTCTCCCTCTATCACTATGCATTTCCAAGAAATAAATGTTTTAAAAAAGAAAAGCAACAGTGGATATGGAAATAATTGAGCCCTTATTAAAATTCCTTTGAAGCTTTTAGAAACAGTGTGCAGAAGGAACTTTTTGTTTCATTTCAAAAGAAGTAATTTTGAAATAGCTTATGAAAGAAAAATGAATGAGTTTATTCTAAGAACATGCTTTGTTTTATGTGTATGTGTGTGTTTTGTTGTTGTTATTAAAGATGTGTTTTTATTGGAAAGGCAGATTTATAGAGACAGAGAGGAAGATCTATCTGCTGGTTCACTCCCCAAATGGCCTCAATGGCCAGAGTCAAGCCAATCTGAAAGCAGGAGCTAGTAGCTTCTTCCAGGTCTCCCAGTGTGTGCAGGGTCCCAAGGACTTGGACATCCTCTGCTGCTTTGCCAGGCCATAAGCAGGGGGCTGGATGGGAAGTGGAGCAGGTGGGGCACAACCAACACCTATATGGGATGCCAGTGTTGTATTAGCCAAATAAGCTGTTTTGCTACCCCTAGGTTTTTTCTTTATTAGGCTGCAGATATTTGAAAGATATTTGTGTTAAGTTTCAAGAACTTGTTTTTATGTAGTTGGAATATTGTCCCTGAATCAGTGTTTCCACTCCACTTGGCCAGATGGATCCTAGAGCCAGGAGCATCCTCTCCTAACACACGTGTACAACTTGCCTTTACTATCTTGTGTTTTAAGGGCTGTGGTATATTTGAAGTGAAGAATGTTCTTTTATTGTCGCTTTTCTTTTTTCCTGGTTTGTTTAGTAAAGTAAATAGGAAATACAGCCAGGCAAAATGCAAGAGATATTAAAACAATTGTCCAGACTCTTTTGCTGTAAAAGTAACAATGATCTTTTATTTCTCTCACATAAATTGCAGATAAAGAAGACCTGTCTTCGAATTGCCCAGGACCAACTTCCGCAGATCACGACTAAAATCATTCCCAATAAAGTAGAGATTTTTCATGCTTGTTAAAAAAAAAAAGAGGTTGGGGGCTTCATATAATGCTTTGTTCTTTTTATATTTTGGAAGTCATTTGTGCATTGGGCTATATAACTGTTTTACTGCCTTGAAAGAAATAATACAGACTGTATCATCAACATGGACAATTGCAATGTACGGCTGTATTGTGATACTTATGGGGTAAAAGGATACCAACAGGTAACAGTCTTATTTCCCTCTTCACTTTGGTGAGAAATTAGACGTGGGAGGGGCTGGCTTTGTTCCATAGTGGTTAAGCTACCACTTGCATTACTCTTACCCTGAATGGATGCTGGTTTGAATCCTAGCTACTCCACTTCCAATCCAGCTACTGCACCTGGAAAACGGCAAAAGATGGCTTGGGACTCTCATCCACACAGCACTCAGAAGAAGCTCCTGGCTTCAGCCCAGAAAAGCAGGGCCATTGTGGCTATTTAGAGAGTGAACCAGCAGATGCCAGAGCTTTCTCCCCATCTCTTCTGCTGTGTTGTGAGAAGAAGATATTGGAGTGTGTGAAGACTGGACCTGTGGTTGGCTGGGTTAGGCTAGGCCACAGCACTTGTCACTTCACGGGAGAGATGGGTTGGAGATAGAATTAACCAGGCAACTGCACCTACCAGTATAAGCGTTGGTTGGTGCAGCTGATGGACCAAACCTGACCCTGCACTGGCTGGCGCACTCGAAAGTCAAATCTGAGGTCACTAAAAGTGATGTTGCTTGAGGGACTTCCTAACTAGATCACTGGACTCAAACTCCGATCACAAGGAAAAACCAAAAGTATGTGAAGTAAAATATTCCCTTCCATCATCCAAGCCTAAGGAGGAAGGAAAGAGTACTCCAGTCAGACTTGTATCAGAGGCATGTTTCATGAATACTAGCAACTTCTAACCAGTTTTAGAGATGGCCATAGAGTTTCCATGGCAATGCACATGTTGATCATAAATGATCCGCTGCAAGGTTTGGCTAAAGGCAGTTAAGATTTGCAAGGAGTCTTATATATGGAATCCAAGGACTTCATGAATTTGGAATTCCCTTGGCAACATTACCAGCAGGTGGTCATTCAACCGCTGCCCTTGTTCTTCCAGCCCAGAGAGCTCGTTGCTTGAAAGCCATCCCATTACTGGGTAGTTTACATTACTTTTGAAGTGGTTTTGCCTCCTTATAATTTAATTGAATGCAGCTATGTGATCTGGCGAGCTCCATCTAAGGTGTCAAAATCATTATCTTTAAAAAAATTTTTTTAAAGATTTATTTTATTTGAAAGAGTTACACAGAGAGAGGGAGAGACAGAGATCTTCAGTCTGCTGGTTTATTCCCCAAATAGCCACAACAGTCAGAGCTGGGATGGACTGAAGCCAGGAGCCTGGAGCTTTTTCTGAGGCTCCCATGATGGCTTTGGACCACCCTCCACTGCTTTCTCAGGCCATTAGCAGGGTGCTGAATGGGAAGTGGAGCAGCTGGGACCTGACCCAGAGCCCACATGGCATGCTAGCACCACAGGCAGATTAGCATGCTATGTGACCACACCAGTCCTTAAACATTTTTTTATGCTTGGGGTCAGCATTGGGCACCTTTTGTTAAGCCTCCACCTGTAACGTCTACATCTTGTTATTAGAGCTTTGTTCGAATCCTGGCTGCTCCATTTCCGATCTAGTTCCCCACTAATGCACCTGGGGAAGCAACAGAAGATGGCCCAAGTACTTGGCACGGTTATTACCCATGTGGAAGATCCAGTGGAGTTCCGGTCTGGCCCAGTTAGCCATTGTCGTGTTCGGGAGTCAACCAGCAGATGGATGATGGTTCACTTGCTCTCTCACTTGCGTTCTCTGTCACTCTGCCCTTCAAAAACAGCAAAATTAACTATCTCATGCATGGGTTAATATATTATTAATAATTTGTATTAACTCTGCCCAAACAGTGCCAAAGTCCCCTCCCCCAGGATTCTGCACAGTCACCATGGCCTTGGGCGTCAGTGCTCTGATTTCTCAGAAGCAGCAGAGCTGGAGAACCACCAAGTAAATTTCCAGCGTTCAGTCTTTTCATCCAGAAAGCTGTTATTTTTATAGTTGTAAATATATATATATATATATAAAACACATGATTCTCGTGAGATACTGGATTTAATATTTATTTTGTTTTAAAATCAATAAATCTTATGAATAGCTAAAACAAAGGAGTACATCTTGTCCTTGCGATTATAGTTAAGTCATTTTCTGTCATTTCTGCCAACATATCAACAGTCAGTCCCAGAGCCACATGGACAGTCTAAAGTGGAATGGAGTTCCGAGCTGGCTCCTCCCCCTTTTCTATGACTATGGGGACAGCTCCGCAGCTTCTCACTGGCCTAGAATATTTGGAATACCGTCTGTGAACAATTAGGCTAAGCTTGCAAATAGTCTTGATGGGAGCCTGTGACTGCCACACACACAGGGTTGTGGTCTACATTTACAGGCCTGGGGCTAGAACCAGACCAGAGGAAAATGAGCCTCAATTCTCACCCATCTCAGGTTTAAAACAATTGCATGCTTGGGCCTGGTGCGGTAGCCTAGTGGATAAATCCTCATTTTGGTCTGCTGAGATTCCATGTGGGTGCAGGTTCCAATTTTCCAGGCTTGTGGCCTGGGAAAGTGGTGGAAGATGGCCTAAAGCCTTGGGGCCCTACAGCTGCATGGAAGACCCAGAAAGAAGCTACTGGTTCTTGGCTTCTGATCAGCTCAGCTCTGCCATTGCGGCACATCCATTGATAAATGAATACATAAAATGTGATGCATCCAAATAGGAGAAACTAATTTGGCAATAAAAAGGATGCAATATCTAGTGTGACATGGGTGATCCTTGAAAGCTTTACTAATGGAACAGAAAACCACACATGGCGTGATTCTATTCATCAAATGTCTGCAACAGGCAAATCAACAGAAAGTAGTTTGGCCTACCGAGCACTGAAATAGGTAAAGTGAACATTAACAGATATGGGGTTTCTCTTTGAAGTGACAAAAATGTTTTAAAATTGATTGTTGAGGACTGCACAATTCCAATAATAGGAAGCAATGTTAATTGTATACTTTAAATAGGTTAATTGTATAATATAATTATATCTCAACAGAGCTACTGATAAAAAAAAGAAACAATTGAAGGGAATTTCCTTAATGCCTTTATTATAAAACATACAAAGCATATTCAAAGCAACAACTGCACAGCACACACTAGTAGATTCAATGTCCTATTTAAGAAAACAAGTTGCCATCGCCTCGGACTGCACTTCCCCATCGCACTCCCTTCCATCCTAGATCATCATTCCTCTGCATCATCTCCTTTGCATCCTCTGCATCCCTGTATTGTTGTATCACATTTGCCTGAGATCCTTAACAAAATTACTGAAATTATTCTATATATATTTATCTTTTACGTATAGCCTTTTCCTCCCCGCCAGAAATGCACTGTTTGGCATTATGTTCTTGAGAAAGAGCTTTATGACCACATTGAGCTGTAATTCATTAGTTTTCAATGATATATAACACTTCAGTATGTGAATATAATGTTTTAATCCATGTTCTTTATGATGGGCATTATGGCTGTTTCCTGTGCTTTTGGCTATTATAACCAAGGTTCCCGTGCACAATCCCGTGGCCGTGTATATGGGAGTGGAACTGATGGTTGGACAGTTATGAACAGCTTAGATTTTACTGGATAATATCAAATTCTTTTCCAACATTATTTCTAAGTTAACTTTTTATGAGGATCACATTTCTGCAACTGGCTTGCAAGCCATTTTAACGAAGGGAAATAAATTTTTTTGGCTTAAAAAACAGCAGACATTTAATATAAATGTATTTGTTGATTCATTAATTAATATAAAGACATTTTGAGGTCTTCTCCCCAGCAGGGAAAAGTCAGGGAAGGACAACGGTAAGCATATTATCAAGGTAGAAATTAAAATATTTCTACAAATGTAGTAAAACAAGGGTAAAATTGATAAAAAACAATAGTTAAATGTCTAGCAATATCCCCCTGTAGATTTTAGTTAACTACAAAAAAATCAATTGGAACTGAGAGACTTTTCGAAAGGTCCCTAACATGTATTTCTTTGCTTTTGGGTCAACTCCTGGTTCCACCTGTCCAACGTCTTCAGTATTTCAGATGTGTCAGGTCGTTTCTCAGGTTCCACTGACAGTAGTTTTTTCAGAAGCATTTTCTGAAATGACCATAAGAGACAACACTAAGATATGAAAGTGTAATAAAAAAATTCTTGATTAGTTTCATGTGCTTACACTTACTTCTTTAGCATCAAATACATCTGGAAAAGAGCCACTCCTTAGCTCTCTGAAAATCTGAAAATAAAACATACATATTCATGAGGGAATTATTCACTTGTGAGCAAAAAGAAAGAAAAAGCACAAAGGCGGAAAACGTCCTACAATCTAGGCTATTTCCGACTCCTCCACTTGAAAACCACCCTTCACACGAACATGTGTGACAAGGGCATTCGTAGTCATTATCCGCCCTCATCCCTCCGAGAGTCTCTGCCAGAGGAACTCAGTATCCCCGTCCTACACGGGAGATGCCGGTGACTCCAGGCCACCCTCACTGCTGAGCTTCAGACTACAATGCCCAGTTGTCTGCTGCCCTTAGGTGGCTCCACACCCCACAAGAGGTCCCATCCTCCCTTTCCTAATCCCATCAACTACCACCTCCTTAAAACTACTCTGGAATAACTGCACCATCTGCTGTTCTCATGACACTGCACCGACTCCTGTCTCCATGTCTTCTACTGTCGTTGATCAGAAGCCAGCTGACCCCTCCTAGCAGAGCCACCATGAAACCTAAATCTTTATACCTAGAAAAATCTTCCTTGTAGTTGTTTGCATGGGCATTATACCTTCTCCTGAAACACAGAATTTCCTTACAGTATCTTGTCTTTTAGAAGGAAAGCTTAATCCTGGCATGGTGGCCTAGTGGCTAAATCCTCGCCTTGCATGTGCTGGGATTCCACATGGACACCATATGGGTGTCCAGGCTGAGCCACTTTCCATCCAGCTCCCTGCTTGTGGCCTAGGAAAGCAGTAGAAGATGGCCCAACACCTTGGGACCCTGAATCTGTGTGGGAGACCCAGAAGAAGTTCCAGGATCCTGGGTTCAGATTTGGTACAGCTCTGATCCTTATGACCATTTTGGGACTGAATCAGCAGATGGCACATCTTTCTGCCTGTCTTCTCTTTGTAAATCTGCCTTTCCAATGAAAGTGAACAAATCTTTTAAAAAGAAAAGGAAGAAGAAAAGCTCACTATGCAAATTGTCTGACACTGACCAGGTAACCAACAGAGAAGTTCACTCACTGACCTGGGAGTCTTGTGAGACTGCACACACTTTCCCAGGAAGATCAAACTTTCCAATCTCTAAAAACATGGCTATCAACATTTTAAAGAAAGAAAATTCCTATTTCACATGTAGTCAGACACTGACACGCGCAGACCTGTTCTCCTGAGGGGGTGGCAGCTGACTGCACAGCTCTGGGAGGATCATGGCCAGTTATTGCTTACATGCCATGTACCTTTGATGTTTCAACAGCCGTTGGACATATGTAAAGAAGTTCAGCAAGAATGAGCCCCAACGTATAGAGGTCCACTTCCTTTCCATAGTCTTCTGAATTAATCTGAAGAGACCAAAAGAGACATGTCTTTGTTAGGGACCCGAGATGTATGCCTTCAGAAAGCTTTGTCCAGTGGCGCTTACCTCACATGAGAACATATGCATCCACTGACTTCCCTGATGGGGAGGAGCCCTCAAAAATATTCTTTATATTAAGTAATGGATCAACTTATATATGTGTGTGTGTGAATGTGTACATATATATATATATACATGTCTACTGTTTTGAAGACAAAAACATATATTTCCCTTCCTTAGATAGTTCACACAAACCAGCTGGAGAACTGTGATCCTCATAATAACACTGAGAGATACAGAATCAGCACACAAATATATAAAGTTTTTAAAGAAATGCTTAATAAAAATGACAATTAGGGCTGGTGTTGTGTAGTAGTGGGTTAAGCCACCGTTTCTATAGCATCCCATGTTGGTTCAAGTCTTGGCTGCTCCACTGTGAGTCCAGCTCTCTGCTAATGCACCTGAGAGGCGACAGATGCTGGCCCAAGCACTCGGGCTCCTGCACCCACGTGAGAGCCCAGCCTAAAGCTCCTGCCTCCTGGCCCAGCCTGGCCCAGCCTTGAACTATTGCAGTCATTTGGGGAATAAAGTAGCAGATGGAAGATCTCTCTGCTTTCCAAATACAATGAAAATAAACTGATGTGGTAAAAATGTTGATGGGGGAGTTATTTGTAATGATATGAAAACATTATATAGTGTTGAATAAAAAAACCACAAAGTAGCATAATATTTCCATAAAACTGTAAGTATGAATGATAATGCAAAAAATTTAAGTTTGCATAAGCTTATAACTCATAGAAAATGCTGAAAAAGATAAAGAGCAAACTTTACTGACAGAAATAGGAATAGAGAGGAAGGATAAGGGGATTTCTTTTCTAAAATATATATAAATATATATTCATTTGAGAGGCACAGAAAAAAAAAAAACAGAAAGAGAGAAGACAGAAAGAGCTCCCATCCATCCACTGGACCATCTCCCTCATGCCTTGACGGGCAGGAACAGGCCAACAGCTGAGGACTGGAGCTCGGATCCGATCCCCCATGTGGGTCACAGGAACACAACGGCTTAGGTCATCACCTGTCCACCTGCCAGGGTCTGCATTAGCAGAAAGCTGGAGTCAGGAACTACGGCCAGGTATCAAGCCCAGGTTCTCTGATATGGAAAACAGGAATCTTAATTGGCATTGTAGTTGCTGGGCCAGTCACTCGCCCCTTAAATTCTTATTCTATCTGTACTACTTTTATAACTGAAAAGAGTATTTAAAGTGAACTATATGCAGACATAGAATATGTATCTGGCCTAATGGTTGGGAGCTGTCTCTCAAATAAATGCAATTTAACAACAACAAAAAACATTCATGTATATGTTAGAGAAAGAAAATGAACTTACCTGCTCTGGACTCATATATCGGCAAGTTCCCAAATTAACAGTTCGCTTTTTATCATTTCTTAATTGTGTTACAAGTCCAAAGTCTCCAATCTTTATTTTGTTTTCATCTACTAACAATATGTTACTTGGCTGTGGAAGAAAAAATTTATTTACATGTACCAATCTGACAGGCTGTAACTAAGTATTCAAATAATCTTTAGCAATGGCTATTTTTATATTTGCTTATAGGATATTAACCTTTCCAGAGGCAATCTTAATTGCGGAATTTAACAGGTCATTAAAATGCTAACTTTTTAGCTGACAGTAGGACTAGCTTGGGGCGCAGCTGCCTCCTAACATCTGAAAGGCTTCCAAGTGATGGTAGACTGATTCCACACAGTCCCAGGGGATTGTTCCAGAACTAGACAGTGGAGAAGACCAAACGATGTGCCTTATTATAGGTTAATATGCCAACAGTGTGATCTGAAGTACAGGAACTACAGATTGTCACCTCCCAAGAGGCAGGTGGACACACCTGAGGTGAGGCAAATATAAATTCACAATCGGGTGGCAACTGAGTGAGCACCCCTAAGCTCTCTTTCCACTCCTGCTGCAGAACAACTTGGTGCAAAATGGGATGCTTCCTGTAAGTCATTTTTTCCTAACCTCTGACACCTTCTTAACATCCCCTCCACCTTGAAAGCTTTAAGTGAGCTGGGAGCTGAAAACGAGCACTGAAATTACTTTTGTTCATCCTTCAACAAGAGTTTTAAAAATTGGTATAAAAAAGAGTGACGTGAGGACTGCTTATCCCTGCTCTATTCTTTGTAGAGGTATTGTTTGACCAATGTTCTAGAGAACATAAAACAGGAAGACTGTTGATGAGGAAACTAACACTTTGCCATTCTTGAAAAGATCTGACTTTTCATATAATGTTAGGCTACCCACAGACCATAGGAAACTGCACTTAGTACAGTCCTTAGAAGGACTCTAGGAAAAGCAGAAATAGGAGCAGAAAAGGAGAAATAGGAGCTTCCTAGAAGCCAACTTAAGAAGGCCCATGCTGAACTTGGCAGTGGATTAGAACACAGTTCGCAGGAATGCCAGTCATGCGGAAGAAATGCTACCGCTGTGGGGGAGCAGTGGGAATGGACAGAAACGTTCCTGCACTGACACGATACAGGGTTGGATGAGGCTGTTAATGAAACTCCGAAATCACATCTTACAGATCATTTCAAAGGACAGAAGTTCATGAATGCTATGTTTTGTACAATTATAGTAGCACTCAGAAAACCTATTATGGGGAACAACAAAGGATACAGACTTTGCACAAGAGGCGCCACAACAAGGGTTGACGCGTGGGGTGAGGCTGCCAGAGTCTGGGTCGATGAGAATCCCTCCCCACCATCCTCTGGAAACCCATCTGTGCCTCCCTGAGCCTTTGGTCCAGTCGTCACCATGCCAACAGAAAGGAGCGAACACTCAAACTGGGCAAGAGGGGCTTCCTTTCTCTGCAAGGGCTGCCCACAGCAGAACCCGCCCAAGTGCTTCATCTGCATCTTCCCTCAGATGAAAGCAAGCTGCAGTCATAGCACTGAGAGCCAGAAAGGTTACAGAAGACACAGAAAACTCAGCAGCAACATGTGACCTTTGACCAACTGCAGCCAAAAGAAGCCCAAGAGCTCGCACGACTCCAGGCACAGACTCTGAAGGACTCAGCAGAGAGGCAAGGGCAGAGACAGCGGCAAGAGCTCCTGGCTTCATCCTGCGGAGGCCCTTGCTCCTGGCTGCTGCCTGTGTCGGGTGAGGTCAGCACACAGGTGGCGCTGCTGCCTAGAGCAGGTAGGGACAGATCCAGAGCAACCCCACGACAGGGGTTCTGAGACAAGACTCAGCAGGCTAGGATGTGATGGGAATAGGCAAATCTCAAGGGTAGAGCATGGAGGCGAGGCTATAAAGCTGGCTCTCTGCTCTTCTGATGCAGGATGAGAATGCAAAATGAGAAAACAGCTTCTCCAGATCATGAAGGACAAAACTGAATGAGAAGACTAAGGGATGGTATCGGCGGCAAGGTTCGGATTACCGTGATTTCCCAATAATGGGCAAAAAGTTCTAACCTGGAAAACACTAGACTGGATCTAGTAGCTGTGAGTGAAGTCAAGAGCAAGGACAGAATTTAGGGAATTATGATCTCCAAGCCAAAGTCAGCAGAGTCCCTCCGCTCTTAAGTAAGCCTCGGCGGCAGAGCTGTTCAGCAAGTAGAAGCTATGTAAGTTTATATCCAGGGTTGACTTCCAGCCTCATAAGACCAGAAGTGGATGAGCCTTCCTATTGGGCTTACCACACTCAGCTTCTTTTCCTGGAGAGTCTCTATGTTACATAGAAGATAATCAGGGTAAGTTCTAGATCCATTATAACCACAGAACTTGAGGTAATGAATTCATCATAATTATTGATCACACTTATAAAACTAGAAAAGGCAGATCTTTAAATGACTAAATTATACTTCTCAACCAATGAGGCACTTTCCACTTACCTTCAGGTCTCTATGTATTAACTCCTGAGAATGTATATAATCCAGTCCTGTTGTGATCTGCTGAAATAACTTCAAAGCCAAAGGTTTGTCTTGTTTGGCTCCTCTTTTATTTTCAATCCACTGCTCCAATGTCCCTTTATCACAGAATTCCATTTGTATCAAAAGGCACTTGGTCTTAACATCACAATTGGATCTAAAATTCACAGTATGTTAAAAGTAGCAATATGAGGCTGCCATCATGGCACAACAGGTAAAGCTGTTGCCTGGGATGCCAGCATCCCATATGGACATGGTTTGTGCCTCAACTACTCCACTTCTGACCCAGCTCCCTGCTAATGCCCATGGAAAGAGCAGTAGAGGATGGCCCAAGTACTTGAGCCCCTGCTATTCACATGGGGGACCAGGCTAAAACTCCTGGCTTCTGGCTTTGGCCTCACCCAACCCTGGCCATTGCACTGCATCCATCTAGAGTGGCACAGTAGGTATAGGTGCTCTCTGTCTCTACTTCTAACTGTTAAATAAACATGTATTTTTTAAAGTAGCAACAAAAATAAACTTAAGGAGTAGCTATTCGGCACAGTAGTTAAATTTCCACGTGGGATGCTGACATTCCATGGCACCATTCTCCATTCCAGGCTCACGGGAATGCACACCCTGAGATGCAGCAACTGGTGCCTCAAAAACTTGAATCCTGCCACCCACAGGGAGAAACAGGTTGAGGCCCCAGCTCCTGGCTTCAGCCTGGTCCATCTCTGACTGCAACACCTTAAATGCTACAACGTTCTTCCCTAGACTGCATTCAATCCCTGTTCTAGAACCAGAGATAAAACAATGGAGGCAGGAAAGCTCTATCTGCAAGTTTGAAAACAGCTGAAAAATTAAAAGAGGCTTTTAAAGGCAGGTTTCAAGCAAGGAAAAAAAAAAAAACAAACAAACTTCACTGTGTCCTTATGTGCAGAACAGAGAGAGAATGGTGTCTGTGAGAGATGGTGGTGACCAGGCTACGTGGTTTTACCAAGTGCTCCCCCTCCCCCCCCCCAGCTTGGTGACATTTTTCTTCTACCCCCTCATGGCTTTGAGAACTTCCTTTTCCTTACCTTGAACTACCAACCGTACTATCCCCACTTTCCCCCGAATCAGGATCACTGTAATCGGTTCCTTCCCAACAATGATAATACTGAATAATATTGGGATGAGAGAGCGCTGCCAGTGCTTTCACTTCCCGCTCCACCTTCCTGGAAAAAAGCAACAAAGCACGCGAAGGTGTCAGGCACCCCTGAGCATAACTGAGAAACACCTCCCATCACTGGGGACAACTCAGAAACAATCAGCGTGCTTCCCATGGCAAGTCTGAGAGAGAGGTCAGGAGAACTCAAGGATCACGCACACGTGCGTCAAGGATCACGTGCACGCGCACAGAGAAGAACAGAGCTGGACGGCCCACTCTCACCATCAGGGCTTCCTTCCCAGCGTCAGACCAGTTAAGATGTGCAGCCTCAGACACCCAGTGCTGCGACTGTCTATGGCTAAATCACGCGTTATATTCTGTTTAAGCTTCTGTGAAAGCCGGAAGATTTCACCGCTCTGCCACATCCGGGCAGTCAGCACAGGTGACCCAGCCAGTATAAACAACCTAATTCAGAACTTTCAGTGGGTAGAGAAAACATACAAAGGATATGACTTAAGTAGAGAAACTGCATAGTGTGGGAGCCTTGTAAGGAGACACTGTGAAGAGCTGACAAAGCTCTATGCTAAATGTAGTAAATAAACTTAAGAGTTCAAAGTTGAGGTTGGATAAATCAATACTATACACTTTTTCTAATTTTTTTCTTAAATTTCAGAAATTCTATGGGGCATAAAATCTGTAAAACTAAAGAGAAAAATCACTGATAACCTCAACAATCGTAACATAAAGTTAACTGGTTGTGGATTGCTTCTATTTTTAATGCACATGTTATATAATCATAATATGCAATCCCCCTCTTTTCATTTAACATGCTATCTTTATAGTTTTTCCTTGTGCAAACATGATTTATAAACTTTTTAACACAAAATGTCAAGAATACAAAAATGGCAGGCAGACACTCTAGGAAACCTAGCAATTCCTAGCCGATTTCCTTTCATCCATGCTCTTCCTTCATTTCCTCGTCTTTCCTGGATGACTCTGAAGCAGCTCCCACCAGCAGACCTTAGTGTGTGGCCATGACTCAGGATGCCACATTCACTTTTAGGCTGTAGTATCCTCAGCAGGCCAGGGATCAAACATTCGAATCAGTTCTAAATTGCTATTTTGTTCATGCTCATTTTTATTGTTATGAATGAGTGTGATTTACATCTTCTTTTATCCAGACATAATCCAGATAATATTATTGCAGTAGGTTCTCAGAAAATTCTTGAAGCAAAGTATATAAATGTCTTAGTGGTCCTGAATTTATAGGAATAATTCAAACAGTTCATGGAAAATGGGAATTTAAAAAATAAGTTTACTTTGGTTCAAAAATAAAAACGTTTAAAACTTAGGCAGTTTTTTTTTCCACAATGCACATCTTTCATAAACTTCTTTGAAAACCCTTTGCCAAGTATATATTTTAAAGGTTTAAAATGCATAAGCTCCTGGAAGTATCTTTTAAATGAACATTTTCAAAAATTGCCGTTTCATAGAATCAACAACAGCACTTTATATCTCTAACATAAAACAAGGAAGAAAAGCCTAGTTTTGATGCTGACTTGGTATGAGAGTTTTGAAATGTGAGGCATTGACCATGCACAGGAAGTGCATTTCACCTAGGACTCTTCGCCTTGTTCTCCTTTGCTCATGTCACTTTAGCTCAGATCCCTTTTCCAAGTTCTCCCATACTACTTAAGGGGCTGGTCTGGCTGAGTTCTACACACTAACAATCACTGGAGAACAACAAGCAAGACTGGTGAACCCATCAAATAGCAAGACTTCTCTCCTATGTGTTTTTCTTTTGAAGAAGTCGTGCTATCCAACGGACATGGAGGGGTAAATACATCAAAACACAGGTACATAAAACAGAATGCAAACACGGCAAGCAATCAATTATAGTGGGAACACAGCAGACTGCAACCCCAGAGAAAGAATTCTGAATGTCTATTACATAAGTATATAATAGTGTCCAAAGATCATTGTCATCAGTTCTTTCCCTTCCCATACACACTGGAATGAACAGCGGGCTATTTGCTCTCTGCTTGAATTGAGTTGGTCTTAGTGACTTATTTAACTAATATAATGTGGCAGAAGTGACTGACATTCTAGAACTCACACAAGCACCCTCACCACTTTCCTGGTCTCTTGGATGACTGGTTCTGGGCACACTCCTTGAAACACATTAGGAAGGTCACATTAGGAAGCCCTGTGGAGGTGCTCTGTTTGACATTGGCAGCTGAATTCTCAGTCCCCAGAGAGCACTAGCTGCTGGCCATCTTGCCTCTCTAACCTGACTTAAAACAAGACTGGGAGATCCCAAGGAAGAGCTGCCCAGCTGAGCACATCCAACCAACAGGATCAAAAGAGAAAACACTAAATTCTCTTTTTAAGCCACTGCAGCTTGAAGATGTGTATTATGTAATAACAGAGAATCAGAACAAGGATCGACTAGCATTTTCCTTACACCAATCAGTTCCCATCTTGGATCTCCGTCTCCTCCGTAAAAAGAGACTAGAATATCTCAAAGGTCACCTTAAATCCAATAATGTGTTCCACTTCTTGAGGCAGTCTCAGAAGGATAACCCATAGTATATCCCTTTTTAAAAATTAAAATAACTGCAGCAGTGAGATTATTTCAGTGTAAACCAAGCTACTTTGCAAAGAAAGAAATGCTTGAAGAAAAAATGATATGTTGATGAAGGAGAGACACAAAAAAGAGCAGTGGTTACATTTTCAACAACTCTCATCTAAAATATGTGACATTTGCTACTTACTCACTATCATATTTAACACGTTTGATAGCATAGATCTTTCCATCAATTCTGTGCTTTGCTTTGAAAATTCGGCCAAATCCACCAGAGCCAATCGGTTCTATTTCTTTAAAATCTTTGGTAAACCTTGAAGATAAAAACCACAATTTCTCTGAGATCCTCCAACCCTCCCGCAACCTCCCTAGGTTTGCCTTCAATGTCATTCATAAAATGGGTCTGTAAGACAAACACGATTCTCCCCTTATGGAAAACAAAGTCTTATTTCACAGATACATTCCCAAAGGGTCATCCCTTCCCCTCCGCCTCCCGTAGGAATCCACATAACCAGACCACCCAGGAGTAACAGTCAACTCTTGACTGAATGAAAGTCAAAACAAATGGTCCAATGTCAGGCATAAAACTGTAGTAAGAACCACCTAACGCATTTCAGAGACACTTCAATCTATTGGAAAGGAAACAAGCACATATTCTGAGCCCGTCTTGGTTTTATTCTTGGTTTCTCCTCTCCCTCATACCTCTACATTCCATCATTAAGCTTTACTAATTCTACATCAAACAAAATCACTGATAGGAACAGCATTTGGTTAGGATGTCCAAATCCCATACAGTACTAATGGTTCAAGCCCCAGATATTCTGCTTCCAATCCAGCTTCCTGCAACGCACAGCTTGAGAGCCAGCAGGTAGAGCTCCAGTGCTGGGGTCCCTGACAAGCCAAGGAGGAGACCCACAGTGTGAGTTCTGGGGTCCTTGCCTCAGCCTGGGACCCATTTGGCTGTTGTACACATGCAAGGAAGTGGATGGAAGATTTCTGCTTCTCTGCCTTTCAAATGATAAATGAAAATAAATCAAGACATACTTTAAAAACCATATGAATGGCATATGTCTACCTTTCTCCACCTCCACTATCCTCACTGTGGCCCAGGCTTCCATCAGGGTCCTGCAGTACTCGGCTAGGGGGACATTCCTCTCCATTTCCTGTTTCCCACTTACTCCAATCTATGATCAGCTCAGCTCAGCTTCAGCCATTGCGGCCACCTTGGGAGTGAACCAGCAGACGGAAGGTCGTTCTCTGTGTCTCTCCTCTCTGTAAATCTGACTTTCCAACAGAAATAAATTTTTAAAAATTCCATTTGAGCAGAATCTATTTCTATTTCTTCTTCGTATAGATGTCCCGTACAGTGCCAGGAACATGGGTATTCCTGTGTTAAATGACATTCTTATTTTTTAAACGTGCATTTAATGTGCCTTGCTCTTTGAAAATAGGCCTCCTTGGCTTAAACTGCTAAGCCACACTTTTTACAGTGGAAGGAAAAGTTTCTCAAGTGAAGTGTGGCATGGAAAGAGAAGTGAGATTTATACAGACCTATTTTGATTCCTGTAAGAATCAAATGGTTTTTAATGATTGATTTATAGGAATATTTTCTTTCAATATTAATAACTTCCATAGATTTCAGAGTGATTCACCAAAGCATCGTGTTCACCCTATCCTATGTGGATTCATTAAAGTTTTATTTCTCCAAGAGATGAGGGTCCTTTGTGCGTTTTCTTTGGCTATAACAGCTAAACTGCTGGGGTGGAAATCTACTTTAACCTTACAATAGGCCCTCACAAAATTTCATGGAATGAACAAACACATTTAGCGAGGAGAGGAAGAAACTGAAACATGGAAAATAAAACAATTTTTAAAAAAGATATATTTATTCTTATTGGAAAGTCAGATATATAGAGAAAGGAGGAGAGAAAGCGAGGAAGATCTTCCTTCCAATGATTCACTCCCCAAGTAAGTGCAATGGTCAGAGCTGAGCCAATCCAAAGTCAGGAGCCAGGAGCTCTTCCAGGTCTCCCACATGGGTACAGGGTCCCAAGGCTTTGGGCCGTCCTCAACTGCTTGCCCAGGCCATGAGCAGGGAGCTGGATGGGAAGCAAGGCTGCCAGGATTAGAACTGGCGCCCATATGGAATCCCGCTGTGTGCAAGGCAAGGACTTGAGCCACTAGGCCACCACGCCGGGCCCAGAACAATTTTTAAAAAGCAAATATTTAAACAATTTCTACTTTACCATTCTACCTCACCTCTCATCCACAGTATATTTGGTTGTTTCTTTATCAAGGGAGTCAACAGTAGGTACCAAATTCCTAAAAATCAAGAAACGACAGTAAATCAAATGCTTCAATGAAATGTAATTTGTTAAGAGTGGGTTTCATCCCTTGTGATGGGCTATTTACATCTTGGGTCAATTATCTGGATAACAGCATAGCAAGTATGAGCCCTTTTCCTTAGACATTAGAGCCATTTACATATGGTTGACCTCCATCCTCTAATAATTCTTCATCCCCTTCCTGGCTCCTTCTTTCACACAACATTCGCGTTCCTGGCAGGCCGCTAGCCTCTCCTTTTCTTTCTGCTAACTCACACCTCAGGGAGCAACAGGCCTCGTGGCTTTACTCGTGATGAGTTCAAAAACCACCTAAAATGAAATTGTTAACCCAAATTACCGTGAATCCCTCCAATGTTAAACTCGGGGGCTCAGCAGTGTCCTGTCCAAAATGAAGTGATTCTCTTCTCCCTCTCACCAGCTAAAGAAAGGAATCACTTAAATACTATATTACCGGCATCTGCCCACTTTGTTCTGCCTGTAGCGTCTTCAGCAAAGCCCATGCTGGCATCAGGCCCCTGCAGTTCCCGGTTAACTGGTCACCCCACGTCAAACCGTGTCTCCTTTTCCTGCCAGTCCCTGTCACATATTTTCTTCACTCCTCTCTGCTGCCACAATAACCATGGCTGCAGGCCTACTCATCTCACATACATAGCTCTGTTCTTTCCAGAAAACATCAGATCAGGAACCAGCTGTTCTCCCCATCATTCTCTATGGCCCAAGGTAGACTGGAGGCTCAAAGCGGCACCTGCTGCCACCTCACTGCCATTCTTGACTATAGTTACCACCCTGTTTTATCTTCAGTTAAAGAAACCAAGCCAACAGGATTTGCATAACATCTGGCTAGTTTTAACCTGAGTTACATGGGTTTTTCTCTACCAACCTGTCTATAAAACAAACATACTTTAAAAAAAATCTGTTCCTCTGAACTAATCACTCTAGTGATATGCCCGTGGGGATTTATGTCTACATCAATGATTTCTCTACAAATTTCAGATTGCCTGTACATAACAAACTTTCTGTGAGCCATTGCCATGCTTTCTACTTATGAAATGGAGTGTACACTACAAATGCTGAAGGCTAGAAAAATAAAGATTTAGATATTTTCAATGCATAATGATACTAACCTTTTTTTGTTTACTTCATTACTTCTGGCATTCTATAAGGAAAAAATGGGAAATCGTGTCAGATGATTAATTAATTCATACTGCTTTCTGTTACTCTTGCTCCCGGTATACGTCTAGCTGGCTCTTGGACTGCATTCATTAATGCATTGTGAACTGCCCTGAAGCAGGCATTTAGCCCACAAGTTCAGACACCCATAACCTACTTTAGAGGGCCTGGGCTGAAATTCCCAGCTCCAGCTCCAGACTCCACCTTCCAGCTAATGCAGGTCCCAGGAGGCAGCAGTGAGGGCTCCAGTTGTTGCAGTCCTGCCTTGCAGGTGGCAAATAAGGACCGAGTTCCTGGCTCCTGACTCTAGTTGCTGTGCACATTTGGGGAGTGAGAGTGGATGGGTTCTCAAGCATTTGCTCTATCTCTCTCTGTCTCTTAGCCTCTGAAATTAATAAAAGAATGAATATTTTTAAAAGGTCAATAGACTCATCAATATGTGTAACTTTTGTCAAGCCCTGGGATCTATTGCTTTGAGTTGTGCTTTTCTGACTCTTAATAATGACAAAACATCATTTTATGTTTCAATGATGTCTCTTCTGTAAATTTTCTCTTAAGAGACATCATGTTTTCTTCCTGAGTTGCTTATCTTTTTCCTATAACTTTTAGTTCTATGTGAAATATCTATATCTATTCACTCCCCAAATGATCACAATGTCAGGAGCTAGGACCACCTGAAGCCTTTTTAAGGTCTTCCCTGGGGTGCAGGGGGCCAAATGTTTGTGATATCTTCAGCTGCTTTCCTGGGCATGGCAGCAGGGAGCTGTATTGGAAATCAAGCTGTACTGGGGATCAAGCTAGTGCCCACATGGAATGCCAACATTGCAGGCAGTGTTTTTTTTGTTTCTATCTTTGTTTTGTTTTTACTTTTGTTTTTTGCTATACCACAGTATCAGCTCTGATTTGTAGTTCTTGATAGATAGAATAGCTATATAACATTAGTCTCTCACCAATAGAATGACCTGATTTAAAAAAAAAAAATCGTTAAGTTTTGGAGGAACCTATTAAAGTTATTTTTGATTTCTTAAAATAAAATAAAAGCCATGTTATAATAAAAACTTCAAATATTGTCCATTTGCTAGGAAATAAAAACAAGATTATGGGAATATATAAAAATATAAGAGTGAATAGAAATATTTGGAAATGAGCTGTGGTAAGAATTCTGCATGTGAAGAGTGGGTGTTTAAAAGGTAAACGAAATCAAAAGCTTGCTAAATATGATTATGTAGTAATAGTGCATAAGATAAAAATATAAAAATGGTAGTGGAAAATGAGGAAATGCACAGGAAACCAAGATTATGTAGGAAGCTCATACCATAGGAAATGAAGGCGAAGAACTACCTAAACCGTCCTGATTGTGTTGTTTTCCTGGTGCAGTTGCTGAGTGGTAATTTCCCAGTGATGAATTAAAAGCACTAAAGAAAAGGGAATAGCAGTCAGCTTGTGAAGATATTTTTGTATCTTCAAAATGTAGTATATTTTCTCTACATTATCCTTAAATACGAAACATTTTCACCGAAATTACTTTTTGCCACGGCAGTTTAAATATGTTACATATCACAGCTCCTTGTCCAGACTTACCTCGTGGGTGTTTCTGAAAGAGCACTTCTGAAGTCAGCAGATGAAGTCACAGAAGAACCAGGGGAGGTAGGGCTAGTGACCTGAAATGAAGAGTGGCCTCAGCAGGCTGAAATGCAACTGCATTACTTTTTACAGTGGCTTAGCCTCTGTGCCCTTGTACAGGGGCCATGCTAATCTTCTATGTATTGTTCCAATTTTATTACACGTGCTGCTCTGACTACCACATTTATTTCTCGGTTGAACAAACCCACACTGATCAACAATGACCACATACACTTATTTTTTCATAGATGTTAGATCTGGATTTTCAAAGCAAATCTTTTGTGTTGCCAGCAGAACTTTTACTGTGTGGGAGTGTCATGGCTCCAGGGCTCCGGGCTCACGGATGGGACACAGAATGGAGGAAGCATTTTTGCTGGGTGAGTAGCTATCTTGGCTTTAGGCAAACAGTCTAACCTTCAAGTCAACTTCAGGATTTGTAAGATACAAAAATTACATTTAAAGATGGTACATACATACCATTAACTGATCATAGGCAAGTTTAGCAGCCAATTGCTTTGCTTCCTGTTTAGTAGAACCAATGGCAGTATCATATTCCTTTTCCTCAATTTTGCATTTATAGTAAAATCTAAGAGAAATGATAGACAATATTTATCCAAATATCAAAAATACAGTAAATCTAACTTGTGATAAAAAAAAACACAAAAGCATATAAAAGCTCAAGGTAACACTGATTCATCATGAAAATTTCAATTTCTTATTTTATATTAAGTTGAAAACTTCGATAAAGTCGCTGATCAATTTGTCTAAATAACCAGGATTGGGCTGATGTGTCAACTTGCATTTTCCAGGCAACTTCCAATGCTTTGTGGCTTCACTAAAAAGACCTTATACAAAGGTTCTAGGTGGGGATTTTAAAAACTTCCCAAAGGTTAAAACAAATGGCGACAGAGAAGAAAGGGGCAAAGATTAGGTGCCAATTAAGAAAGCAGGGGTGGGGCCCAGCGCGGTGGTGCAAGTGGTTAAGGTCCTCGCCTTGCACGCCCGGGATCCCATATGGGCGCCGATTCTATCCCGGCAGCCCCTCTTCCCTTCCAGCTCCCTGCCTGTGGCCCGGGAAAGCAGTCGAGGATGGCCCAAAGCTTTGGGACCCTGCACCCGCGTGGGAGACCCGGAAGAGGCTCCTGGCTTAGGCTCGGCATAGCATCGGCCATTGTGCTCACTTGGGGAGTGAATCATTGGACGGAAGATCTTCCTCTCTGTCTCTCCACTCTGTATAACAGCCTTTCCAATAAAAAAATAATAAAAATAAATCTTTAAAAGAAAGAAAAAAGAAAAAAAAAAAAAAAGAAAGCAGGGGTGGGCCTGGCATGGGCAGCCTAGCAGCAAAAGTCCTCATCTTGCACGTGCCAGGATCCCATATGGGTGCCGGATCTAATCCCAGTGGTCCCGCTTCCCATCCAGCTCCTTGCTTGTGGCCTAGGAAAGCAGTGGAGAACGGCCTAAAGTCTTGGGACCCTGCATCCAAATGGGAGACCAAGAAGAGGCTCTGGGCTCTTGGCTTCGGATCCGCTCAGCTCAAGCCATTGCACTCACTTGGGAAATGAATCATCGGACAGAAGATCTTCTTCTCTGTCTCTCCTCCTCTTTGTATATCTGACTTTCCAATAAAAATAAGTAAATCTTAAAAAAAAAAAAAGGAAAGAAAATTGGGGTTCCACTGGAGAAGACAGGAGGTTACAGTGCTATGGCCTTTTTTGGGGGATAAGCAATGATGGATTTTGCCCTAAGTTATTTTTTTTTTCCTAAGACTTGCTTATAGTATACAAAACTCCTTTTAAAAAATATTTACTTATTTTTATTAAAATCACAGTTACAGAGAAAAGAGACAGAGACAAAATATTCCATCCAGGGCTGCAGGTGGCTGCAAGGGCCCAAGCTGAGCCAATCCAAAGCCAAGAGCCAGGAGTTTCTTCTGGGTCTTCATTCAAGTATAGGATCCCAAGTTGTTGCACCATCTTTTACTGCTTTCCCAAACCACAAACAGGGAGTTGGATGGGAAGTGGAGCAGCCGGGACAAAAACTGACACCCATATGGGATCCCAGTGCTTGCAAAGTGAGGTGAGGATTTAGCCATTGAGCCATCAATGCCAGGTCCCACTATATACAAAATTCTAAGAAAATCCTACCAGTGCAGACCCCAACTCCCATACTGAATAGTACTCTTCAAGAACACTCTCCCTATCTTTAAGGCTTGAAGAATGGATACTGCCATTTATATCAAAGAGTTCCCACACATTATCACAAAAGTACTGCTTTATCTCATGATTCTTTGGAGGCTGCAGAGAAATGCACACCCAGTCAGAAGACCCAGAATTAAAGAGCCAATCTAAGAGTCTAGCCCGGAATGCTCCTGTCTTGTCCACGCACCCCTCAAATAGAATTTTTCTCTCTTAGGTATCCAATGTGCTTAGATCAAAGCAAGACAAAAAGATGAGCTATAGAGACAGATAAGCATCCCTTACGACAGAGATACCCATAAAATTCACTTTTAAACTATTCCAATGCAGAGAATATTACCACATTTTCTCTTCCTGCTCTGGCGTAAAAACCACCTGCGAGTAAAAAGGACAGTGCTCTCAAGTGACAATCTGCACTACTTGCCATTTAGAGTTTTATTTCTTCTTTGTCATTTCACTGGTGGGTTGCCACCGAGCAATGATCTCCCACGTGTTCCTTCGCTTTCTGCTTTCCCTCAGCTCTTCCCTACAGCTCCGAGTCTTGACTCAGTGGTGGTCTCAAACTCTATTTCTTTCTTCTTCTTTTTTAAGATTTATTTCTTTTTATTGCAAAGTCAGATATACAGAGAGGAGGAGAGACAGAGAGGAAGATCTTCTGTCTGATGATTCACTCCCCAAGTGAGCACAACGACCGGTGCTGTGCCAATCCAGAGTCAGGAGCCAGGAACTTCCTCCAGGTCTCCCACACAGATGCAGGGTCCCAAGGCTTTGAGCCGTCCTGGACTGCTTTCCAGGCCACAAGCAAGGAGCTGGATGGGAAGTGGAGCTGCTGGGATTAGAACCAGCGCCCATATGGGATCCTGGCACGTTCAAGGCGTGGACTTTATGTGCTAGGCCACGGTGCTGGGCCCCTAAGCTCTATTTCATCCCTCTCCTTACATGTCTTAACTCCTGGTCCCTGCGGAGTGGAAGGTTAACCCCATTCTCTCACCGTGTTTTCCTAATTACTCGTTTCTGGGGATGAGCATCTAGTCAAACAGCTCCTTAACCTCACCGTGGTACAGGCTCACTCTGGAGTATGGTCGAGTGGTTTTCACAGCAGTGACCACGCAGACCTAAAGGATGGAGTGATGTCCACATCCTTCAAGTAGGGATCCTGCACTCTGTTGTCCAACAGGAGCATCTCAGAAATAGAGCAGTCCCCATCCCCGCCCCATCCTGACGGATGGGTTTCAAGGCCCATCTGATACTTAAAAAGTGTTGAACATCATATTTGCAATATCTTTCCTGCTTGCACATTCACAGTAAAGTTAACTTGATAACTTAGGCCCATTTACAGACTAATGACAGCTAATAGAACAATTATCACATAGATTGTCCTAAAAACCCTGAGAACGTAGTCTCTCTCTCAGTACATCTTACTGTACAAAACCCATGCTTCTTCTTGTTGATTATAAGCAGCTGAACCATAGAAAACAAAACTGCAGACAAGGGAAACTGCTGTAAAGGATTACCAAAATCTGACCAATTACAATTGCTTTTAAGTCATATAAAGTCTTCCATGCCAATAGTGAAAAAATGACAAAACTAGAAAATCAAAATATGAAAATAAGCTTACTTTGTTGCTTAAATATGATGAAATCAAAGAAAAAGCTAGATGACAGCTCACCTGCCAGGCTCCTTCTTACTCATTTTACTCGGTACATAATTCACATTTAATTTTTTCTTCTGAGCAAGACGATTGAGAAGGCCTATGTAATTCCCAAGGGTTAGTCCCTCTGAGGTATCTGCAGCTTGCAATGGTGAAGAGCCAACTTCCTACAAGGAAAATCATTTAATGAAATCACTAAATGAACAATATGAAGACAACTTAAGTGTTTTGTGTTTCCCAACTATATTATATCGATGAAAGGATAAACATATACCTTTATCTGCAAGAGGGGGTGGAGAAAAGCACAAAATAAATTATAATCATAGTAAAGAAAATAACTACCTGTCTTTTTAGCTTCAAAATGAAAAACAAAATACCAATCCTTTTTCCTGTTTTTCCCATGAAAAGAACTACATAACATTTTCTAGCTTGCTGTACCATTCTAAATCTCAGAAAACAGAAAACAGATATTAAAGTAAAATTATATGAAAAGGTAAATAAGGTATTATCACTGCTACTACTGTATTCTTCTCTTTGACAAAATCTGATCCAAAGTTTGTCTACTTTATAATTCTTGTCTAAGAATTACCCTTTGATTCTGTTGATTCTCTTTGACAATTCTTTGTAATTTTAAAAGTTAGAGACAGGAATATACAGAGAGATCTCCCACCCACTGATTCACTCCCTAAATGGCCCCAACAGCCAAAGCTGGGCCAGCCAGGAGCTTCATCTGAGTCTCACATGTGGTTGCAGGGGCCCTCGGATGTGGGTTAACCTTTGCTGCTCTCCCAGGTGCATTAGCAGCAAGCTGGATTGGAAGTAGAGCTGCCCAAATCTGAATGTGCACGTGTGGGATGCCAGTGTTACACGTGGCAGCCTTATCGACAAAGCCACAGAGTTGTCCCCGCTTTGTATCTTTTACATTAACTTCTGCTCTTATTATTATGTTATTTCTTCTACATTTGGGGGAGGGTATTATATTGCGTGGTTTTTTGTTTTTTTATTCCTACCTTCTTAACTCAATTTTGTAGCTCATTGTAACTTGTGAGTTGGGGCCTGTGTGATGTTTTTCTTCAGTTTTGGTTAAAAGAATGATACCCTCAATGGGGATTTTTCAGAACTTAAAGGTAAGTTTTCCTATAACTTTCCATCTATGAGAATTACCCTCTATTGTCCTCCACAAAAATGAGTTCATGTTTCATATTCCAGTTGCCACTCAACTATTTCCAAATGTTTAACATTGCTGTAGATAGCCTAAACGTTTTTATTATATATTTTTCTTCTGCTGCATAAAGTTCTTCACCCCTGAGATCCGATACTTTCAAGGACCGATGCTGTTCTGGGTGGGGCTGTACGCTCGTGGCTCCTGAGTTGTTGTAATCTATATTCAGGTCATTATTGCATATGCATTTTCGGTTGAAACTGCCTCAAGTTGGCTTCCTTTTCCGTGCTATTTGTCCTAGTCTCTGTGTTATTTGTCCTCCTGAGCTGCCACATTCACATCTGTTCTCCGCATACATCATTTTCCCTGCTCCTAGAATTACTCTCACCTTTTCCTTTACCCATTGCGTTTCTGCAACCTGTCAGTCACTTCTCCCTGAATATCTCTCACTAATGCATTTTACAGAATTCAACCTACCGTCATCAAGCAAAATAACATCTATGTAGCTTTGTCCCAAGGAATGCTTCTCGCTCAGGGTCTTACAGAGACGAAAACACAGAAAAAGGATTGAACTGAACATTAAAACACAAAGAGATCTGGGAATGTCTTTACTCTGCAAAGCTCCTGGCTTCAGGCTGGCCCAGCACTGGTTAAGTTGGGGCATGAACCACCAGATGGAAGTCTCTCTCTCTCTCTCTCTCTCTCTCTCTCTCACCTTTTCCCTCTCTCTCTGTAACACTGTCTTTCAAATAAGTAAATCTTTTACATATAATATACATACACACACATTTATAGTATTCTATTGCAAATAGGAAAAGAGACAAAGGCTCACCTTGTTTTCTTTATTAAGTGTTTCAACAGCTACTTTGGCTGCGGCATTTTTTGCTTCCTGTTTTGATTTTCCTTCAGCTTTTGGAAATTCTCTTTCATTTATTGTAACTTTAAATGTAAACCTGATTACAGAGAGCATATTAGCAGAATGCTATACAATTCATGAATTTTCTAAGGACAAGTGTCACAACCACTGCCACCTGCGCAGGACCCCCATGGAGGGTTGGAACCTATGTTCTACACAAAATTACAGCAGCCATCCCAGACGGCGTTACCTCCTCAAAGTATGAAAAAAAAAAGCTTATATCCTTGCTTCCCTCTGGAATCATCTGTGGTTTCCAACCAAGTTCCTTATGGGCCCTTTGGCAAAATCTACTACAAAGCTATAAAGTATTGACCTCAAGGCTGTCCCAAAGCTGCTGCTGCTCCCCAATGAACAATTATAGGGACAGACCCTTTTCAATAGCAGCTTACGTTTGTTCATGTGGAGGCCCCGACCGGGACAATTCATGATACTTAAGTACTACGTTGTGTTTCTGGCGATATTTATTAAGTTCTTCTATGTAGAAACCTTTCTTTTCATTGTCCATTTCTTCTTCCAGTAACCTACAATATGAGACATGTTCAAGTGAGTGGCACTGATTTCCTAGCAGGTTTATGAGCCACAAAATGGTGGGAAGGCTCTTCCTGATACAAGTCACCTCAGCCCCACGCAAAGAAAACCTTCCTCCAACACCTTTCCTTTTCTCCCAGGGACTGCACAGGCAAGTGAACCTTCCAGCACCTTCTGAAAACTCAGAGAAAGGTGGGAATCCTTGTTAACTCTGCAGTGGTTACAAAGTACAAATCCATTCATCTGCTTGAGAGGGTACAAAGGCTGCAAGGCAGAATTCAATTGTTTCATGTTGAAAAAGGCTCAGCGTAGAGATATTAAGTGAAGCTCATACAATCATGAAGGATTTTGCTCTACGGAAATAAATTCCTCTATAAAATTTAGAAAATTGTTCCTTTGGCATGTGCTAAAATCAATTTTAAGATAATTTAACTGTAGGTAACTGGAAATCTTGGTTTATAGTTCTCAGTGGATCAAAATGATGGCAGTGATACACAGAATTTAAAGGATATACAATCTAGGGCCCAGCATGGTAGCCTAGCAGCTGGAGTCCTTGCCTTGCATGCCCCGGGATCCCACATGGGCTCTGGTTCTTTTCCTGGTGGCCCCACTTCCCATCCAGCATGGCTCTGGACTGTTTTGGCCGCTTGGGGAGTGAATTAACGGACAGAGGATCTTCCTCTCTGTCTCTCCTCCTGTAAGTATATCTGAACTTCCAATAAAAATTAAACCTTAAAAAAAAATTTTTTTTAAAGATATACAATCTAATTGTAATGAGCCCGAACTAGAACTCTTAGAAAGAAACATAGGGGTAAATCTCCTTGACTTTGGGTTTGTTAGTAGACTCTTAGTTAGGACAACAAAACCAAAAGCTACAAAAATAAACAGAAAAATGGACTCCATCAAAATCCAAAGCTTTTGTGTGTTGTAAAGGACAGTATGAAGAAAATAAAAAGACATTTACAGAACAGAATATGTATAAATCATATATCTGAAATGAGTTTAGTATATAAAATGTATTTTTAAAAAATCCTTAAAACTCAACAAGAAAAAGTAAAACTGCCTAATGCAAAAAAAAAAAAAAACCCCAAAAAAAACAAAACAACAGGCAAAGAGCATGAACAGACATTTCTCCAAACAAGACACACCAACAGCCAGTAAGCACAAGAAGAGATCAGCCTACAGCACAATGGCCAGAGTTGTAGCACAGTGGTTAAGCTGCTGTCAGAATTCCAAATCTGAGTGACTGAGTCCCAGTTGCTCTGCTTCTGATGCCACTCCCTGCTAATGTGCCTGAGAAGGCAGTAGGGGATGCCCCAAGTGCTCGAATCCCTGATACTCCCGTAAGAGATGTGAGTGACATTCTTGATTTCTGGCTGCAGTATGACCAAGCCCTGACTGCTGTGGCCATCAGAAGAGTAAACAAGCAGGTGGAAGATTTCTCTTTGTATTGTTCCCTTTCATTCAACATTACTCTGCTATCCAAATAAATAAATAAATCATCTCTTCCTCCGACCCTCTTCTGTAGCTTGGCCTTCTTAGGTTTCCACCTCTCCTTCTGTCTCCTCCTCAATGCCCTATCTTGTAAATGTTGTAATGTCCTAGGGCCCAATGCTTAGGTCTCCTCTTTTCTGCCCACACTCATTTCTCTGGTGATCACTTCCACCAACCCTTCCCTGCACTCCCTGCTGCTGCATCCAACCCTCCCCTTCCTGACACGCTGGGGGTCCCACCTCTAGTCACTATCACTTCCTACAGATCTGAGCTCCAAATCCTAAACACTTTATCACAGGCTCTCACAGCCTCTGCCTCCTTTCTTACAGCTGTGCATTTAACTCTTTGGCAGCTAAGACCATGAATCACAAGGAAGAGGCCAGGCTTACCATGGTGCCCAACAAGGAATGAATGGATGCACTACCAAAGTATCTGCAGATCCCCATTCCCACAATCTGTTATCTGCTTTCTCTAAACTTGAACGGGTTCTCTGTATCCTCTATCTGCAGGGCAATTTCCACACCTTACCTAAATCTCACCACAGCCCTGGCCACTTTTTAAATGCATCAGTGAGCTCTTTGGGCAGCAGGTTCCATACCTCACTCATGCGCCTACAAGAGTCTCCACCATAGTCGCACCCAATTGCTATCTGTCCATCTTTTTCACCAACAGAAGTGCCTTCAGGCCAAGCCCCCTTCAGAATCCCAGAACTACTTGTTCAGTAGTTAAAGCGACTAGTCGAGTAGTTTGGTGTTTTGGATCTCCAGGTTCAGATAGGAGGAGTTATTAATTATCTAGCATGTAGCATATAGTCAATGAACACTGTGCTCTGAGCACTGTAGCAGTCCCACCAGCGAACAAAAGCCTGCTCTTGTTAACTAAGGAGAAGAGGAGTGTAGACAAACCCAAGCCAAAGTCCCAGCGTGCTACGTTCTGTGTTGAAGGCTGCAGCCAAGTTAGGGGGACACCAAGGACAGAGTGAAGTTCCTTTTCTAGATACTCTGAGAAGCCGACACTGGCAGAAATCACCCACCCAATGTTAGCGACTACAGCTTTCCAGGAATCCGGAAACAAGCAGTGCCAAGTACCGGAGGCGGCAGGGTGCACGGAACAGCAAGGAGGCCAGTGAGGTCAGAGTTGGGGAGAGTGTGGAAGCGCCAAAAGGCCTGGCTTGCAGCCAAGGAAGCCCGGAGACAGGTCTAAGCAAGGAGGGCTCGGTTCAGACTTACCTACCATGGTGTGAAGAGGTGACTGGAAAAGAGGAAGGTGGGACGACCAAGAGGGGACTCAGGCTGCGCAACTAGAAAACTACTCCTCAGGCAGGACCTTGCTAGCCCGGGATTCTCTCTCCCTTCTACAGATAAATTCAGGCATCCCTATTTCCCGTCCTCCCGTCAAGTCACTGCGCCTGCCCGGAAACCACTCTCCAACCACTCTGACCGCGTTCCACAGTCCTTTACCACAGACTGGGAAGTGCTTTGCAACGGAGGTGGGGGGTTGGGAGGCTGCGGGGTCCCTGACTAGAGCAAGCAGGTGTGGGCCTGGTGGGTGAGGGGCAGGGCAGGGAGAGCTTCTAACCCGCGCCCTAAATCCGAGCTCAGAGAATGACTAGCCTCGGAATGCTGGAGAGCCCGTTCCCAGAGCGCGCGGCCTCGCTCCACACCCCCGGAGCCCACTCACCTCACTCTCCTGGGAGCCCGCGGCCGACCAAGTTACCCCACGTCCCCGCGGCCCCGGAGCCCCCGCGGCCGGCCAGCTCACCTCGCTCAGGCAGCGCAGCTCGTCCACTCCGGTCCACGACAGACGCCGCTGCAATCCAGTCAGTCCGAGCCTACCCTCTGCAGTTTGCTCTAGGTTTCGTTTTCGAATGGAACTCCGCCTTTTCCTACCGTTCCCGGGTCCTCTAGCCCAATCACACCCGGGGCCGGGACCGAGGAATTTTGGTGTCTCCACCCATTGTGCGCTCCCCACTCTTCAGCGACCAGGACCCTGCACCTATGTCGGGCTGCTTGCCGGGAAGGGGGTGTCCCTTGAGTAAATGAACTCATCCAGGCTCTTACCTCAGTGTCCTAACCACTTTGAAAGCTGGGGCGCTTCCGTTCGCCCTTTCCGGTCCATTCCTTAACATAACCAACCCTACCAGCCCAGAACTTCTGGGGAGGTACCTGATGCCTCTAAGACATTTGAAGTTTCCTATCAAAGCCCAGGAGCAGTGGTCCTGTTTCTGTAAGAACCGCTAGTGCTGGCACGTGCAAGGATCGGGATAAATGCTGACAGACGGATTTGTCACATCAGCATCTGCTACCAAGTGCATGGTGACAAGTCCTGTGAGACTGGATTGCAGTACTCCCTGGAAAGTGCAAGACCCGGACTGGAATGGGGCCTAGCAGGAAAACAGTGGCACTTCTCTCAGTTCCCGCTAGTGAGCGTGAGAGCCAGAGGTGGGTTACAGTGAGCCAGGCTGAACAAGGCGGCAGCACTTGTTCACATACCTGTGGGCTGGTTTGTGGTGCGGCTTAAGCTGAGCTAAGCTGCAACACCCATAGATGTATACAAGAGCCCGGTTGGGATGCAATAATTGAGAGAACCAGTCTACTGTACATACTAGCATGCAAAAGAACCGGGGCTGAGGGCAAGCCTGGTGAGGTTTGTTAGGGGTTGCCCCAATGGGCTGAAGTTTCTGCTGGTGTACACAAGGACTGGGTCTGTGGCAGGCTGGACTGGGTTGCAACAGGGGTCAGTTTGCATGGGAAGGGGACCTGGGGACAGAACTGAACAGGCAACTTCAATCACTGGTGTGTGCGCAGGCTGATACAGGTGACAGACTGAACTGGATTCTGTACTGGCTGGCACATGCAAGGTCAAGTCTGGGATCGCCCCAGATGAGAGCTCATGGGGGAAATCCCCAACTGGACCACTGGACTCAAAACTCCAGCCACCAGAAGGATCATAGAATTTGTGGTCTGGCCTTAGAATGCATGTTTGGGGACTGCACTTCCTTGACTGCAGTGGACAGCATGCCCAGGAACATGAGAGGAGCACTAGGGTGGACTCTGCCAGCCAACGGACCTGGGAAGGATTTTCTCAACCTGGACAGGCAAAACCAACTGCGTCTCATCACTCTCAAAACTATTGAAGCAATACCCTTAGGTATTCTCCACATTGGGGTTTCTAAGATGACATCAAATGAACATCCCTTTGGCAGCTGGGAGTGGTCCTCTTCCACTCCCCCACCCACCCCCACCCTTACAAAAGAAAAGGGAAGAAAAGGAAAGTTGGAAGCATTTGCACCACCCATCTTCCCTCACACTGCGAGCCTCAACTTTCACCTAGTGGACTGTGAGTCATTGTGAGTCACCCTGGCTCATGACCACTTGACTGAAGCGTGTTGGGGACTCACCTGGCGTCAGACACTGTTCGGGGAACAGTCTTCCTCATACCTACCACAAGGTAGGTGACCCTACTATCCCCATTCAACAGATTAGAAAATTAAGGACAAAGAAGTCAGGTAAGCTGGGAAGCTACAGTAAGAACTTGGATTGTCATTTCTGCATCTCACCTGAGGGGGGGTTCTAAAATGGATGTCAAATACACATTATGTATTGTATCCTTAGCATCCATTCCTGCCTTTCTTCTGCATTCCTGATATGACAGCATATCCACAATTCAAATCCACATATTACTCAGAGCTGGTGACCTTTGGCTTAAGTTCCCAAATGTGACCCAGGGTTGGAGGGTAACAAGGTATGTTCATCTTACTGGTGACGTTTTCAGATGGCAGAAAGACTGGCAATAATATAGTCAGAAAACGCTGATTCACAAAGTGTCCCATTTCTGCCTCATGGCTTCATTCATAGAACCGATCATTTTGTTGAATCTTGCAGTAAGTATACAGATTGGAGCATTAAAACCCAGAGTTCTTTATTACTGACAAATTCCTCAGGTGCAGCTCTATGGCATCTGTTTCTTACTTGTTCTCTGTTCCTTCTTTACTGTTGCTCACTGATGCATTTATTATTTTATTTTAAAGATTTATTGTTGGGCCCGGCGCGGTGGCGCAAGTGGTTAAGTCCTCGCCTTGCACGCCCGGGATCCCATATGGGCGCCGGTTCTAATCCCGGCAGCCCCACTTCCCTTCCAGCTCCCTGCCTGTGGCCTGGGAAAGCAGCTGAGGACGGCCCAAAGCTTTGGGACCCTGCACCCACGTGGGAGACCCGGAAGAGGCTCCTGGCTTCGGATCGGCATAGTATCGGCCCGTTGCGGCTCACTTGGGGAGTGAATCATCGGACGGAAGATCTTCCTCTCTGTATCTCCTCTCTGTATATCCGCCTTTCCAATAAAAAAATAATAAAAATAAATCTTTAAAAAAAAAAAAAGATTTATTGTTATTGGAATGTCAGATATACAGAGAGGAGGAGAAACAGAGAGGAAGCTCTTTCATCCACTAATTCGTTTCCCAAGTGACTTTGATGGCTGGAGCTGCTCTGATCTGAAGCCAGGAGCGTCTTCTGGGTCTCCCACGTGGATGCAGGGTCCTAAGGGCTCAGGCCACCCTCTACTGCTTTCCCAAGTCACAAACAGGGAGCTGGATGGGAAGCGGGGCTGCTAGGATTAGAATTAGTATCCATATGGGATCCCGGCGTGTGCAAGGTGAGAACTTTAGTTGCTAAGTTACTGCGCCGGGCCCTACTGCTGGGTTTTTTAAAAGACTTTTCTTTTTATTGAAAATGTAGAGAGATCTTCCATCAGCAGTTTCACTTCCCAAATGGATGTAATGGCCACAGCTGGGCTGATTCGAAGTGAGGAGCCAAGATCTTCTGGGTTTCCCACATGGGTGCAGGAGCCCAAGGACCTGAGCCATCCTCCACTGCTTTCCCAGGCCGTAAGTAGGGAATTTGATCAGAAGTAGAGCAGCTGGGACACGAAGTGGCACTAATATTGGATGCCAATGCTAGCCAGCTGAGGCTTGGGCTACTACACCATGGCACTGGCCCCATCACTGATGATTTCCTTTTATAAAACATTTATTGGGAGCTGAGCTATGTTTCTAAAAATTCTTATTCAGCACTTTTAGTTGATCTAGTAATCCGCCATACTACCAGAACAAGCAGCCTTAAAATCTTTCTCAAAGCAATTTTGTTGAACATTTCCATGATTCATTCTATCTTTGCTGCACGTAACATAATCTAGAGAGTGGAACTAGCTATAGTGCAAATGGTAAGAATCAGTAAGAGTATGAGAGGTGCCAGGAAGGCGACTGTTTCTAGAATTTTATCTTCTCTTGTTACTTTCGCATGGCTACTTGTTAGTTTCACATGATAGGAAAACCTTGTACGAAGTAGAAACTCAAAGTCCCCTAAGAGTAGGCTCTTTCTAGGACCTGCTTCAAGGACATACACAAAATGGAAAGAACAATGTGTTTTTCTTGAATCAAGGTAGAATCGAGCTGAATAATCACATAATCTCACATGAGCATAGGCAAGAATTAATTTCCCTCAGCAATAAGTTTGAGAGAACCATAGATGCGTTGGACTGCTGTGGGAGGTATTGTGAGGAAGTCTCAAGAAGCTGAGCATCATTAGGACTCTGTCTCATTTATGCTCAATGTGTTGAGGTCTGACTCCGATAGGATCTGTTTATGCTCCAACGTGAACCTGCAGCACAAAAGAAGCGCAACTGTGTACGGCACATTAACAGAAATGTCCCTTGTATAACTAAAATGTCCCTTCTTTGAAAAGCGAAGAAATATCTATACATGCCTAAAATTTTCATTATTAAATTTGTATAGCTTAGATTCAAATATTATGTCATAATTTGATTATTTAAGTCAACTTATTTAAATTCGGCTATTATTAAAAATAAGAAACTATCCATTCCTGCTGAATGGAGCAGATTCAAGCTTGGCAATATGATTCGTACTTCAGCTTCGCTCCCAGGGGAGTGCCTGTCAGGCATGCTTTGAATTTTTCATCCATTTCCTGGTTCTGAGTTTCACTGAACAAATTTTTCCAGTCACCAACTTCACCTACAAAGCACAAAGAACAGGAGACCCAGACATCTGTTAAAATATTTCTCCTCGATGTATCATTTTTCAATGTATTTCACTTTGAAATGTGAAAATTGATGCATGAAAAAATTGAGCTTTAAGAGCAATGTGTTGGGGCCCAGCACCGTGGCCTAGCAGCTAAAGTCATTGCCTTGAACATATGGGTATTGGTTCTAATCCCAGCAGCTCCACTTTCCATCCTGCTCCCTGCTTGTGGCCTGGGAAAGTAGTCAAGGATGGCCCAAATTCTTGGGAACCTGCATCCGTGTGGGAGACCTGGAGGAAGTTCCTGGCTCCTGACTCTGGATTGGCACAGCACTGGTCGTTGTGCTCACTTGGGGAGTGACTCATTGGACGGAAGATCTTCCACTCTATCTCTCCTTCTATCTGTATATCTGACTTTGTAATAAAAATAAATAAATCTTTAAAAAAAACCCAATATGTTGGTGCAAATTCCAGCTGCTCCACTTTGAGTCCCACTCCCTGCTCATGGCCAGGGAAAGCAGTTGAGAATGACCTAAGTCTTTGGAACTTTGTACCCACGCAGGAGATCTGGAGGAGGCCCCTGGCTTTGGCTTTGGCTAGGCTTAGCTCTAGCTGTTGCAGGCATTTGAAGAGTGAACCAGTGGGTAGCTGATCTCTCTCTGTCTCTCTTCTGCCTTTCAAATAAAAATAGATCTTTTTTAAAAATAAAAATAATCATATTTCTCAGCCACTGCTGCAGAGCCAGGTGGCCAATGTGAATGGGGCTACCCAGAGAGCTACTTAAAGGGTCTGAGTGGCTGGCATTGTGGCTCTGTGAGTTAAGCCAGTATCACCACTATCCCATGTGAGAACCAGTCTGAGTTTTAGTCATTTGGGGACAATCCCTCCCTTTCTGTATATAACTTTGTCTTTCAAATGAAGAAATGATCTTTTTTAAAAGCATGTTTTTAAATAAAGATGGGGGGTTTCATCAGCTGGCACACGTATTTTTTTGTCCTTTGCTCATTTTCTTTTCCCACCTGGAATTTGAACACGATGATTAAGCTCCAGCTGCTGTTTTGTCATCACGAGGTGACAAGCACCACAAGACAAGTGTAGTGCTCTCAGAGATAGTGCGGAAGTCCCTGTTACAGTTCTCAACTGCCTCTGTCTGTACTTCTTACAAGGGAAAGAGAAAACCTTTTCTTACTTGCAAAAAAGCTGTCCGGATTGCCTGTGCTGTGATACAAAACCGCCTAAGCCAGTGTCACTCACCTTTGCGGAACAGGTAAGGTCCAACAGCACCGTGTGTTTCCTGTGACTTGGCTCGCATTGCGTGGAAGGTGCTCTGGGATGAGATAGCTTGAATTTGCTGCTCAGTTACAGAGAATCCAAAGAACTCAGCAGTTTGCTTTATTCCAGTGGCCAGATTCTGGAAATGAAATTTTATTTTATTACTAAAGAAAAACTTTTACTGGAAGGACAGATTTACAGAGGGAGAAGCAGAGACAGAAAGATCTTCCACTGGTTCAAGCCCTAAATAGCTCAAATGGCCAGAGCTGAGCCTGTCTGAAGCCAGAAGCTAGAAGTTTCATCCAGGTCCCTCATGGGGTTACAGGAACTCAAGGTTGTGGGCCATGTTCTACTGCTTTCCCAGGCCATAATCGGGGTGCTGAATGGGAAGTGGAGCAGCTGGGACAGGAACTGGTACCCATATGGGATGCTGGTGCCAGCAGGTAGATTATTAACTTATAGAGCCACTTCTCATCTAAGTCTCTTCTAGCATCCCAGGAAAATAATGGAAGATGATCCACCTGCTTGGGCCCCTGCACCCACTTGGAAGAGCCAGGCTGGCTTTAACCTGGCCCAGCCTGAGCCTTGCAGTGATCTGGGGAGTGAACCAGCAGGTGTAAAGCATCTTGATATCTCAGTATCTCTCTTTCTCTCTCTGTTGTATATAGCTGGTTTTCAAATAAATAAATCTTTAAATATTTATGTTTTTTAATTTAATATATTTGAAAGGCAAAGAGACAGATGAGAAGAGAGGGATCTTCCATTGCAGATTTAGTCCACCAATGTCTGTAACAGCTAGGACTGGGCCAGGCCAAGCCAGGAGCTGGGAGCTCAGGGTAGGTCTCCCACATGGGTGGAAGGGACCCAAGTACATGAGCCACTACTTTGCTGCTTCCAAAGGTGTGTTGTGCCCAGGTTTTGAGATGCCCAGAAATCACCAGGATCTGAAGTTGATACAAACACACAAGGGCAGTTTATTCAAGCTCAGCATACCCAAGCTTGGGCTTCCAACCATCACCGACACAGCAGTTCTTGGTTGAGAGCCTGCCAGCCGGGACCAATACTCCTTACTGGAGTACAGCTTCGAACAGCCCATTTATGAACAGCCCATTCACGGGGTTTTTATAGGGGCAGTCCACAATAGCATGAAAATTGGGCAATTTGCAATACCCTGCAAGGTGAGGGGGAAATACCACACATTCCCTAACTATCTTGGCCGGACAGCTCCTGCCTGGCTCTTCTCTGGTCCAGCAGTTAAGGTAACCACCCACTTAATTACTTGGAGTCACCAGTAGATAACCAGACTTGGGCCTTGATTCACGAGAACTGGAGCCCATTGGTGCTAACGGTCACGTAGCCCGTTTGGCCTGCAAACTCACACAGTTTCTTAGTAGCAATGAGTCATGAACAAATGTTTGGGATTTTGATTCTGAGGTTCCTCGGGTGCACATTAGCAGGAAGTTGGAATTAGGGGAGTGGAGCCAAGACTTGATCCCAGTCGCTCTGGTATGGAATACAGGAATCCCAAGCAGTGTCTTCACCATTGCATCAAATGCTTACACACTGAAAACAAAAGCTTAGTTCTTTCTTTGCTTGCTTGAAAGTCAGAGATATGCTCAACCACTGGGTCACTGCTCGGGTGTCACACCTGCGAGGACTGAACCAAGGACTTTTTCCTTATCTCCCACATGGGTGGTAAAGGCCCAGGTATCTGGACCATCTTTTCATTTTTCTGTGCTATTAACAAGGAGCTGATTAAAAGTGGAGCAGTTGGGACAAGAAATAGCACCTGCATGGGATCTAGCATTGCAGGCAGCCGTTTTACCTGCTACTCTACAATGCCAGCCTCCAAATTTCAAAGGATAAACTTCCAATGGGAGTTGTGCTGAGAGCAAAGAAAGGTTCTCAAGTATTTATTAAGCCTAACTATCCATCTCTCTCTGTACACTTACTTCAATACTCCTATATAAAGATATCACTATAGAAGATACTCCATGGGCCTGGTGGCGTGGCCTAGTGGCTAAAGTCCTTGCCTTGAATGCGCCGGGATCCCATATGCTCACTGGTTCTAATCCTGGCAGTCCCACTTCCCATCCAGCTCCCTGCTTGTGGCCTGGGAAAGCAGTTGGGAGACTGCCCAAAGCCTTGGGTTCCTGTACCCGTGCAGGAGACCTGCAGGAGGCTCCTGGCTCCTGACTTCTGATTGGTGCAGCTCCAGCTGTGGTGTTCACTTGGGGAGTGAATCATCGATCTTCCTTTCTGTCTCCTCTCCTCTCTATATATCTGACTTTGCAAGAAAAATAAATAAATATTTTTAAAAAGACATTCCATAGTAATTATATTTTGCAATTTAAATGTATGACACTTGTTGAGCTTCTAGATAATACTATTTAGGATATAAAATTATATTGTTAATTAGTAAGTTGGAATTTTATCACAGTTGACATTGCATTGCCTTAAAATGCCTAGGTCAGCCAAATAAGTTAATGTATTTGAATGTGTTGATTCTACTTTTTTTCCCCTCTCTTTTTGAAAGATTTACTTACTTATTTGAAAGGCAAAATGACACAGAGAAAGGAGGAAATGCATAGGTCTTCCATCTACTGGTTCCCTCCCCAAGTAACTGGGCATGCCTGGGTCAGGATGAAACCAGGAGCCAGAAGCTCCATCTGGGTCTCCTACATGGGTGGCATGGGCCTACACACCTACACACACTTGCTTCCCAGACACGTTCGCAGGAAGCTGAATTGGAAGGAAGCAGCCAGGACTCAAACCAGCAGTCCAATATGGGATGCCAGCATGAGCAGTGGCTTAACCCATCCTGCCAAATGCTGGTTCCTCTAATTCTGTTATACCATTTACAGACAATGCTTGATTCTCCAAAGGCAGTCTAGACTGAGAGTCATAGAAACTTGAAGGAGTTTTAAAATTTACCTTGGCTAACTATCCAATCACCCACAAACCACCAAGCACTGTGCCTAATGAAAGGAGAGCCACGAGTTTTATAGAACAGCTTTCTTTAACTGTATTACATAAAACATTAGGATACCCTAGGATAGTTATAGAAGCCACTTGGCAGGGGGAAAAAAAGGGGAGGGTTTGAGATCAAATAAATTTAGAATCCTTGAAACAAAAGTAGAACGTTTTGTTTCTTGCTACAGAATCTAATACTGTTGAATAGTACGAACCCCGAAGGAGCTGGCTGTGCAGCGCAGCAGTCCCCAGCTTGATTCAAATAACTGACTTGCTCTTGATCCCCAAGCATTCCAGGCATGCGCAATGACACTGGTATCCTAATATTTCAGAACTAAAACTACGCTATGAAGTGACAGTGAGCAAGTCTGTATTTAAAACATGATTATACATATTTTCACGATTCAGTTTATATCATTTTTCCCAACAATACCATTTTTTTGGATAAAACAGCTACATTATCAAAGAATCAGAGTTAAAGAATTTACCATTTCTTCCAAATTTCCTATGCCACAAAAAAATCAACTAAATTTGTTATATTTTAAAACTGGCTTAGGATTGAACGCATCTCAAAGCGCCTTAAGCAGCCCAAGCAAGAGCCAGATCAATGACGATGCTTCATCAGAGAAATGAATAATGACACTTATGTAGATCACGTGTATTATTAAGTGGGCAGATGCCTAAAAACATAATGAGTCTATAAAGCATATTCTTCTGTCTTATATTGTTTCTCTTTATCCTTCCTTCTTCAAGGTCATAAAGCTTTTTCTTTTTTTTTTCTTACTTTTTTTATTATCATTTTATGATACAGTTCCACGGGGAGGGCAGTGACCCATGTTTGATCTGTTTGTTGAGGCATCATTTAAGGCCTAAAGCAGTGCTCAGCAACCACTTGCTCACTGTTTGTTGATTGAATAAATAAGGCTAAAAATTAACTGGAGAAGTCAATTCACAGCCAAATATGTGTTCAGTTACATCAACCAGGACCTATTTATATTGTCTATTACCCCACCTTGGGCTATTCACAATAAAGTGAAAATAAAGCAGTTGTTATTAGTAGTAAGTAGCTGAGCATTTTTTTTCCTGCTAAATATGCAATCTATGGTGGGAGTCAGGCCCGTGAGCCCCTGGGGTATGGGTCTGGTGGGGTCTGGGTCCTTTGGGCTGCCTGTGCAGAGGGAGCTGAGTGGGTTTGCTCTAATGGGGCCTGGCACAACTGGCGTCAGGCTGCCTGGGATGCCAGTGGGGCCAAGTGCCCATGGGCCACCTGGCTTCATGCTTGTTGAGGCTTGGGGATGTGGGCTTACAGGAGGTCTGGAGTGGCACAGCTAGGGATGTGTGGGATCCAGAGGGTTCACCTCCAGGATCGGTGGACTGACTGTGGAGTGCATGTGTCAAAACTGGGCTCCTTAGTGGCTAAGATGGAGCAGTGGTTGGCATGCCCAGATGCATATGGAGGATATAGCATTCCATGGGGCCGACAGAGGACCTCTAGTACCATAGCAGAGGAAGGAGGGCAGAACAATTGGTTAGTTACCCCAGCCAAGTGTTGACAGCAAATATCTGGGCGATTGGAGACTCTAAGGTGGGCTATGTCAGCCAATTGACCTTGGAAGGATTTCCTCATCCTTGGATTAGTGAGACTGACAGCATTTCAGAACTACCAAAACCACTTTAGCAGAACACTTAAGCATGCTCCCATGTCAGGGACCCTGCGTTGATAGCAGGTGGCCATTCCCCATCCACGGGAAACTCAGGCAGTTGGGAAGCTGAGTGTGACTTCTCCACTTGTCTGCCCCGTCCCCCAGATACAGGAGGAAGAAAAAGAAAATTTGAAAACAATGGTCTTACCTACTTTCCCGTAACCCTTAATCCTTCCAATCCTGATCATTTTTTTATGTAAACATAAAAAAATGCAATCTAAACAGTTATGTAAGATTTGAGGGATCCCAGCATGTTCAATATGAGGACTTTAGCCACTAGGCCACAGCACCGGGCAAGATTTGGCTTTTTTTCTGACTGTAACAAATACCTAGAATTTTTAAAAAGTTGAATACCATATCGGTTCATACAACCAAACACTGTAAGAAAGAGCTCTATCTTGTAGTTTATAATAAGACTTCCTGTAATATATCAATAATTGTAGTCTTACCTCTTTTAGGTCTTCATATAGTATGAACTTAACGTTTTCATCATCAAGATGCTTGTTCCAACTCATTGCAAAATCAAAATAACTTCCCCAAGAAACTAAGAACACAGGAAGGAAAAAACTTCTTAAGGAATATTAAAGAATAATCAAATGATAGAGTATCAGTAGATGCTATAAAATATAAAGTATCCATATGCATATCAGTATAGATAAGGTTATGGATGTGTTATTGTCAATCTCTGCCCCAAAGAACTGGCTTAAATTAGTTTCATTTTCCTATTTCTATGTTGAATGAAGAATGGAACATTTGGATTGACCTTATGGTTTTATGTTTAGTTTTTAAACTGGTATATGTGATTTGGATTACATTTCTGTTGGACAATGCTGGTCTAAATAATATCTTTCTCAACGTCTCTTTCTTTCTGACATTAGCTTTGTCAGTTTCCATGTATCATTCACCACTCCTAAATTATTTTATGCATCTTTATAACCTGTTTGGTTTTGTTTCAATTTATGGAAAATGTGCAAAAAGATAGAAAAGGAATAGAATTTGGAGAATGCAATTGATTTATACCAGGCCATAGACACATTTTTTTTTTTTTTTAAAAAATCCACTCATTTTCATTAGAAAGTCAGATCCGCAGAGAGAAGGAGAGACAGAGAGAAAGATCCTCCATCTTCTGGCCCACTTTCCAAGTAGCCTCAATGGGCAGAGCTGAGCTGATCTGAAGCCAGGAGCCAGGAGTTTCTTCCGGATCTACTATGAAGGTGCAGGGTCCCAAGGCTTTGGGCTATCCTCAATTGTTTTCCCAGGCCACAAGCAGGGAGCTAGAAAGGAAGTAGAGCAGCTAAGATAGGAAGTGGTGCCTATATGGGATCCCAGCGCATGCAAGGCAAGGACTGCAGACACTGGGCTACCATACAGGCCCACAGATACAATTTTTATGCCCACTTTGTTGATGGGGACATAGAAGCCCAGGAACGTTAAGAAACCTCTTACGGTAGATTACAGGGATTGCCATCATTCACTCAGTCTGACCGAAAGCTAGTGCTGTGGAAGGAAACGCTGGACTGACCTCCAAGGAGGGTAGATACATACCTTCTTTCAAGTAAGAATTGTAAGTCTGTGGCCTGTTATGTAGGCCTAGTGGCTAAATCCTCACCTTGCACATGCCAGGAGCCCATATGGGTACCATTTCATGTCCTGGCTGCTTCACTTCCCATCCAGCTCCCTGTTTGGGGCCTGGGAAAGCAGCTGAAGACGGCCCAAAGGCTTGGGAACCTGAACCTGAATGAGACACCCAAAAGAAGCTCCTGGCTTAGCTCCGGCCATTGCAGCTACTTGGGGAGTGAACCAGCGACAGAAGATCGTTCTCTGTCTTTCCTTCTCTCTGTAAGTCTGCCTTGCCAATAAAAATAATATAAATCTTAAAAAAAAAAGAAGAGAATTCTAAGGCTCAGAAATGTCTCACTTTAAATAACATGGACAAAATGATTAAATGATTTGAAACTAAGTTTCAGCTCTGCTATCCTGTGGTTACAGGACCTGTGAATAGCTCCATTGCTTTCTTCGTAAAACATAGAGGAGCACAATATGATCTTCACAGGTTCCTTGTCAAAGTCAAAATTAAATAATGCATGTTTGGGCCTGGCACAATGGCTCCATTGATTCATCCTCCCCCTTAAGCACCAGAATCCAACATGGGCACTGGTTCGTTTCGTGGCTACCCCACTTCCCATCCAGCTCCCTGCTTGTGGCCTGGAAAAGAAGTAGAGGATGGCCCAAAGTCTTGGGACCCCGCACTTGCTAGGGAAACCTGGAAGGAACTCCTGGATCTTCGGTTCAGATTGGCTCAGCTCTGGCCTTGTGGCCATCTAAGGAGTGAACCAGCAGATGGAAGATCTTTGTCTCTCCTTTTCTCTGTAAATCTAATCTGCCTTTCCAATAAAAATAAATAAATCTTTTTAAAAATGCATGCTTGAGAAAGCACGTAGTTCCTGCTATGTAGTAGTGGCCCAGACAGTGGTAGCTAATGTAGTTTATCTAATATCAATTGTTATTAAAACATAATAATTGATACAGTCTATTCTAAGCCCTCTCATTACAGATCCTATGTTTTCCACTACATTTAGCTGCCTCCAATAGTTGTGTTTAAGTTTACAAGACAGAAAATCTATTTACTATGGATCTTAGTATTGCTAATTAAATAATTGACTAAAAAGGTTGACAGAATGACGAAGACTCCCTAAAACAATTTGTCATCGAAGACAAATTTCTCCTCACTGAATGTTGAGTTGCAATGGTAACAGGCAGTGTTTCAGATTTGCCTGAATTGCCTCTACACTGTCTGAATGCAAAGTCACTAGGCAAAGTCAAAGCTTTCTTAATAGTATTTCATGAGCACCTTCTATGTGCATTCCCCCTCCTACACGCCAATCCGAACATTCAGTCTTTGCTAAGGCATGAATATTGTGCCTATGTCCAAGCATGTGGGATAGTGTAGCATTTGCACGACTGGTCACCTTTAAAAGTGGTCCCGGGCCCAGCGCGGTGGCGCAAGTGGTTAAGGTCCTCGCCTTGCACGCCCGGGATCCCATATGGGCGCCGGTTCTAATCCCGGCGGCCCCTCTTCCCATCCAGCTCCCTGCCTGTGGCCTGGGAAAGCAGTGGAGGATGGCCCAAAGCTTTGGGACCCTGCACCCGCGCGGGAGATCCAGAAGAGGCTCCTGGCTTCGGATCGGCATAGCATCGACCATTGTGCTCACTTGGGGAGTGAATCATAGGAAGGAAGATCTTCCTCTCTATCTCTCCTCTTTGTATATCCGCCTTTCCAATAATAAAAAAATAAATAAATCTTTAAAAAAAAAAGTGGTCCCTTCAAAGGATGCTTTAGTGGAATATTACTTAGTGTTTTTTTAAGATTTATTTATTTTGGGCTCGGTGCAATGGCGCAGTGGTTAAGGTCCTCGCCTTACACGCCTGGGATCACTCTCTTAAAAATAAAATAAATCTTAAAAAAAAAAAAGATTTATTTTTATTGGAAAGGCAGATTTTCCTTCCGATGGTTCACTCTCCAAGTGGCCACAATGGCCAGTGCTGTGTCGATCCGAAGCCAGGAGCCAGGAACTTCCTCTTGGGGGTCTCCCACATGGGTGCAGGGTCCCAATGCTTTGGGCCGTCCTCAACTGCTTTCCCAGGTCACAGGGAGGGAGGTAGATGGGAAGTGGAGCTGCCGAGATTAGAACAGCGTCCCGGTGTGTTCAAGGTGAGGACCTTAACAGTTACGCTATCGCTCTGTACCAGGAATATTACTTAGTCTTTTAAAAAGGAGGTATCACCATGTACAACAGCATGGATGAACCTCATGCTGACTGAAGCAAGCCAGACATGGAGGGAGACATACTTCACAGACCCATGTAAATGTGGACCCCAAAAACGTGGAATATATAATAATATATAACAATGTAAAATAGGGTGATGGTTACCAGGGATGGGAAAGAGGGGGAAATTGGCAGCTGTAGGTCAAATGGCATAAATTCGCAGTTACACAGTTACGAATTATTGCTATGAATTATTTTAGAGAGCTAATGTATAGCATGAGAACTGTTAATAATACTGTGTAATATGCTGCAAATTTGCTGCTGAGAGTATATGCTATGTACATTTGTCATGAAAAAGTTAACTGCACAGCATGATGTGTGCATTTGACTATAGATATAATTTCGCTGTACATAAATATATATGTGTGCACAAAACATCACATTATGTGCCTTAAATGCTCACAATAAAGTATTGTTCTAAGAAACAGATCCTCTTAGAGTGAACCAACAACAGTTTTTCTTCCGGGGTTCTGCCATGAATTCTCTGTTTTGCAGTAGGGACTCAGGAAAGTGCTAACAGAAAGAGGCACTTGCCAGTCTCTGACCCGTGGAAGCAGTCATGCCACTTCCAGGTAGTGGGACCATTAGCAAGTGGTTGAACTTTCTGGATTAGTCTCTCTGTCTATACAGAGGGCCAGAACTATCTTAGTGAAATCAGGCATATGCAAAATCTCGTTAGTCCCTGGGGGTGTTAGGAGACAGGAAGAAAATTGTAGTTATCAATAACCAGAGCGAAAGCATCAACAAGATGTGACAAAAACTTATTTCCTTTGTGACAAATGTCTTAGGTATAGTTGCCACTGTCACCTTTTGTTTTTAATCATGTTTGGTTTTTATCATTGTGTTAAACAGTGAATTAATGGAAAGTTGCTAGGAATGTCTTCTTGTGTGACTGTTTGGTGAGGACCTCTGCCTGTGTCTGTTCCGTGGCCAGTAGAACAGACAGTGCCGCATCAACATGAAGTGTCCAAATAATTTTAAAAAATGCTTTTTAAATTATTTGATATGCAGAACTAGTGTGGCTATAAAACTACATTAGGTGTTAAGTATTGGGTTGCTGGGTATGCCTAATTCTTATTTCTTTCTTTACCATGCAACATATTTGTATTTTTACTTGTGTGATCATTTGATGAAGTAAGAATTCTGCTACTCATAGTCATACCTTCTCCTTTCATGAAGTGTCTGAAGAATTCATCCCAGGAACCATAGCTGGGAATATCAGGGACATTGTTGTGGAAATGAAAAAAAGATACTGCCGTATCTTTAGGGTTCCGAAATATAACCAAAATCTAGGAGGAAAAAAACAAAGTAAGTTTACTTAGGGCTGTGTTTTCAACGTGGGAAAAGTGTAAAGCAAAGTAATATCATGGTGTCTGCTTGCATATTATAAATATGTTTTAGTATAGAGAGTAAGTAGGACAATAAGAGATTGAAGAACAGGAAGTAGCAGACGGGGTCGTCTGCAGAGAGGAGATGGATGTCACAGGGGACATTACTGATGAGTTTAGACAACCAAAAGGGAAGTGAGGAGGAGCAGAGAAGAAGACCAGGCTCCCAAGAGTGGTCACTGGAGTACGACCTGCAAGGCCCATTCCACAAATAAAACTAACACTGCAAAATGATGTTAAGGATAGCAGAACTGATATTTAGACTTAATGGGGAAAAAATAAATTTAAAAATAGCAAGGCCCACTCTGTCGGGCTGAGGGGGTGAGGTTTGGGGAGACGCTGTCAGTGCAGAGCCTCTGAATTTTGGTGTCTGCCTTCTCTCATCCCCACAGCGTTCCTTTGCACCGAGAGTGTGAAATAAACCAAAGCTCCAGGGAACCCAAAGGTCGGTCACTTGGTTGCTCTGAGCGAGCTCTGGCCTGCAGCCTTGACATTGTCCACTTAAACAGCCCAAGATTTGGGAGGACATGATATTTTGGTGTGAGATCAGGCAACTAGAAAAGTAGAAGTCCTCTCATTTTTAGGAAGGACTTAACTAACCAGCAGGGGGCAATAGGACTCATCTGATAGTAACTTGCTAGTCCTGGAGGGGGATTTTTTTTGGGGGGGAGCATGCTTTCTGGATAAATTGAGTTGTTTTTTATTTCTTTTCAGGGTAAAACAAAGGAAGAAGGTAAGCTGGAGGGAGCAGTTAGGCACAGGAATTTTATACTCAAGCGCAAAGGAGGCTCAATAATGAATATATGCCTTTCTGGAGGTTTTTTTTTATGTCAGCAAGGCCATGGGTGCCTTTTTTCTTTTTTAAGATTTATTTACTTTTATTGCAAAGCCAGATATGTACATATAGAGAGGAGGAGAGACTGACAGGAAGCTCTTCCGTCTGATGATTCACTCCCCAAGTGAGCGCAACAGCCAGAGCTGCACCAATCCAAAGCCAGGAGCCTTGAGCTCTTCTGGGTCTCCCACATGGGTGCAGGTTTCCAAGGCTTTGGGCCGCCCTTGACTGCTTTCCCAGGCCACAAGCAGGGAGCTGGATGGGAAGTAGGGCCACTGCAACACGAACTGGTACCTATATGGCATCCCGGCACATTCAAGGCAAGGACTTTAGCCAGAAGGCCACCGTGCCGGGCTCCATGGGTGACTTTTAAAAGACTAGTTGAGGTAAAGATATAGAAGTTTTTGTTTATCATATTTCTAGATGACAGAAAACTTACAGGGAAGTGAGATCTTAAAACATCTGTTAAATGAAATTAACACTAACCAAAAAAAACTGGATGGAGCTCAAAGCGTCTGGTTCTTGTTCTTGGGTCCCAAGGATCCCATTCTGAATATATGACCTTCCTGTCATTTGAAGGATTAAATAATTGAAGCTTGAACCACTATTCACTAATAACACTGGTCCATAGCCACTTGACAGAGACACATGTGAACTGCCAGGGCCTGTTGGCTGACACATGGACAAACCTCCAGCAGTCAGCCCAGCTCACTGACTCATTTTACCATGTTCCTCTGCGTTCATCAGAGAGTGACCCCTGTTCAAAAGCCCAAATGCTCCAGATCCACATGCTTATTAAGTCATTTCAGCTGTTCCTTATAAGATAATTTAAAAAATATATCATCTAGATTTGTGATTAGGTTAGCACCATTTAACAGGGCATCTCTTTTTGTTGTTAAATTTAAATGAATGTTTGAATCTCATGGTACAATTTCATAGAGACTGGGATCTTCCCCCACCAAATCTCTGCCCCTGACTGATTTTTCCCACATCACTAGCATAGTATAGTCCTTCATAAGGAGTCATGATTAACTGGGCATCTTCCAGGTTAGACTATATCTTGTAGGTTCTTCATATGAAGAAAGACTGGTACAGAGACCTTCTATGATCTGGCTTAGCAGGGCAGAGGAATTCACTCGAATTGGGGGTGCCCAATCAGGATCCAGACAGCCACTTCATGGAATTCAAACACCTGATGCGAACTAGACAATCTTCACAGTGTTTTCTGGGTTTAAACTCCTGGGAGCTGCTAATTCTAGGCTTTCACCTTCCTGAGATGTTCTCTCTTCCTCTCCTTCTCCATTCTTTCTCACTCTCGCCCTCTTTGCTATTTGCACCTGTGGCTTTCAGGGACTTACATCTTGATTCTAATTCTTTCTAACCCTTTGTTTATGAGGCAGAGAAGCACCAAGACCTAAGGAATGAGGGGGAGAAATGCTAATGCATATATGCCTTAAAATTTATTACTTGGGAAATTCAGCAATAAAATTATTCCAGCCTTCAGGCAAACAGTGCTTACCATAAAGAACCAGTGGAAGGCTTTGTGCTCATTTTGCTACATTTTATTAAACTGTCTAATATCCTAGAGAGATTATAAAGTTGGCTCATTGGAAGACAGACTATAAAATACTGTAGGTCAGTCTCAGCATATGCTTTGCATGTGGGTTGAAATGCCTTTGACTTCAGTGCTGATTCTCATACTCCATGTATTAAGATTCTTGCGATGAGCAGCAGATTCATCACATACCTCAGAGAGCCAGGATCTATGGTAAAAAAAAAACACTTCAAGTTGATGTGTCAGTAGGGAGGGATACTCACCTTGGCCTTCTTTGTGATGATGGAGCCGGGTAATCTGTCATAACGCAGGTGAGTTGTCATAATCCTTGGCGATGGAAACTGCTTCATTCTCTGAAAAAACACACAATAGGGTGAAAGTGGTGCACGCACGTGTGTGTGTGTGTGTTGGAGTATTCCTACATTCGTGCCTAAACAGCAGCTTCAAACTCTTCTGTCACAGTATCTCTTCTTTTTCTGGACTTTATTTTCTCTCTTAGAGAGGTGAGAAATGAAGAGTCATTAATATGTAATCGAAGTCTTCCTCTTGAACATCCTTATTGGGTCCTGCTTACCATTTCCTAATTGTTTTTATTACATTTTTAAAAAATGAATCATCCACAGTGGTATCAAATCCATGTTGTTCAAAACAGCTCATAATCTGCACCTACTTTTTTTTTGTCTTAATTAGGATCCCTTCCATGTTCAAAGTCTTTTTAAGTTTTGTTTTTAAAATTGTTTGTATAATTCACAGGGATGCATGCCCATGTGGGCCTCTGATTAGCATAGGAAGGGTCAGGTATGGAGGAAGGTGGATGGGACAAGTGTTTCCGTCTTTTTGTTTTGTTTTGTTTTTCTCCTGTGCCCACAGGGGAGGAGGGGGAGTGGGCCACTCCTTGCTGTCAAACTATGTCAGCACCCATGGATAGGAGCAGGTCCACTGATGACGCCTTAAAGACCCCGATGTGAAAATGAGTGTTCTGAGGGTGTTACTTGAGTGGTTTCAATAGCTCTGAGACATTGTCAGTTTTGTTGCTCCACAGTTGAGAAAATCTTTCCAAGGTCTACTGGTTGACAAAGCCTACCTTAGCATAGCCACTGACTCAAGCACACTTCAAGTTTGTATATGTGCTGCCAAAGCGAGCACAAGCACATGTAAAGTTTGGCCAGGAGAATTGTCCAACCTGTTCTGCTCTCCATCTCCTGAGAAGGCAGTTGACGCCTCTTGCTGGCTTAAGTGAGCTGATGTATTCCCTGTGTGCATCTGGGTATGCTGTCTACGTCACAGGCATGAGCGACCGAGAAGTCCCAGTCCTGATAGATGCACTGCAAGGGACAGATCCTGTGATTCTCCCTGTGGCCAGGGTCTGAGTCCAGCAGTTCATTCGGGGAGTCTCCCAAGAAACCTTGCCTGGTGTGACCTCAGACTTAACTCTTAATGTGTACCAGCCAGTGCAGGGTCAGGTGCAGTCTGACATATGTACCAGGCAATACATATCATGCTGAAATCTTTAACAGAAATACTCAACTCTTGCCACAGATTTTATATATATATATATATATATTTTTTAACCAGCTAAAACTTTATACAATTGAGTATTCCAATATAATCTGAAAATACAGAGTCAGTTAACTATCTCAGAAATATTTTGAGAGATATTTGCACTTGTATAAGTACTATGGAGGTGATAATTTCTTTTTCCAAATATAAAATAATGAATTCTTTTTCTGTAATCTATTTCTACTAAAAAGAAGTTATCCATCTCATCTGCCAGGGCCGGGGGACCATGGCTTCACATTTTCAGTTCCACATTCAAAGAAGTTAATGACTGCTTGGTCACAACTACAACACACTCACTCATTTGAGAAACGATATGGTATTGAGACACTGTTAACAGCCATTTATTCTGTAAAATCTTAGCGGATCTTCCACCTCAAGCAAGGAAGCAAAAATGAGGTTTCAAAAAGAGACCACAGGGGCTAGTATTGTGGCACAGTGGGCTAAGCTACTGCTTGTTATACCACCATCCTATACACTCTACTTCCCATCCAGCTCCTTGCTGATACATCTGGGAAAACAGTAGACGGTGGTCCAAGTGCTCAGCCCCCTGCCATCCACACGGGAGACTTTTGGAGCTTCTGGCTTTTGTCTCCAGCAAAACCCAGCTCCAGATACTGCAGCCGTTTGGGCAGTGAACCAGCAGATAGAAGCTCTTTTTCTGTATTTCTCACACTCTCTCTCTGTAACTCTGTCTTTCAAATAAATAAACCTCTTTTTAATATTTTTATTGCTTACATGGCAGAGACGGATGCACGCCCGTGTCCTTGTGGGTCCCTGAGCAAGGTTCAAATAAATAAATATTTTGAAACCAATTATATGGGTTCAAGTGGTGATTCGTAGTGATGATATCTAATTTATATCCCGCAGTATTTTTTAGTATGTGAAGTACTTTTATATTCATTCAGAATAGTCTTCTCAAATAGATATTGTAACCAATAATTTAGAGATTAAGAATAGGCTTGGAGGTTTTAAACACTTTGTGTAAAATTCAAGGTGGTAATTTTCAGATTATGATATGGAGTGTTGTTTCCATTAAACTACAAAGTCAGAATCCACATGAAGATACATGAGCAGGGCCAGTACTCACAGTGCTGGCTCAAGTCCTGGCTACTCTGTTTCTCATCCAGATCCCTGCTAATATGCCTGGTTGGCAGCAGAAGTTGGTCCAAGTACTTGGGCTCTGGCCACCCACTTGGAAGACCTGGTTCCTGGCTTAAGGATTTAGTAACCAGAATAAATTTCACTAATGATTAATGTTGTACTTCTTGAACCTCAAACTAAAGAATCTCTAAAATAGATGAAATCGCCATGATAGTTTCTTGTAAGTTTAAATGTTGTTGTACTCACCTGATATTTTCCTGAGTCCCCACATTCAAGTACAGGGAATTCTGAATGTTCATACTTTTTTTTAGAAGCAGCAAATAATAATTCACTGACAATGTGTAGAATCCAATTCGAGCCTGTAGGAAAAGTCAGACAATAAAAGGTCTGTAAGGACTCTTGATAATATAGAAGTATACTGTCTTAGCACAGACATAAAATTTTGAAATTTACAACGCTTCCCTGATGTATACATGTAACTGTTATGTGTTTGACATGACCTAGGTTGTGGAAAGAGTTTTGCAGGAAACAACGTTTACCTTTATCAGCATAAAATCCAACTTTTTAAAATTTTCATGTATCTTATTTGACACAATTTCCTCTTTTTTTGAATCTAAGATATGTTATTAGAGAACAATGCTAGGATATATACATGACTGTATACTAAATATCTATCATTTTAATGTAAAGTAATGACTATTTTTACAAGAGCACATAATTTTGATTTTATAAAGCCCTGGCATCAGTGAGAAGAAAAATATTAAATGAGGTTGATTCTAATGAGCACTTAGAGATGAAATAGGAGTTAAAAGACTCAAAACTGGCTAGTGTAGAGTAATTGACATTTTTAATGTCTTCCACTGGTGAAAGACTTTTGTAAAAAAAAAAAAAAAAGATTTGATGTTTAATCTTGCAAAATACTCTAACATGGAAACCATCATGTAATAGAAGTAGCCATGCTTTTGCCTTCAGTAAAAACTCAGGATGTGGAGCTAGTGCCATGTCACAACAGGCTAATTTACCTCCACATTTGGTGCTGGCATCTCATATGGGTGCCACTTTGAATCCTGGATGCTCCACTTCCGATCCAGCTCCTTGCTTCTGGAGTGGGAAAGCAGTGCAGGATGCAGTAGGAAAGCCCTTGGGACCCTGCACCCATGTGGAGTTAGAAGAAGCTTCTGGTTTCTGGCTTTGGGTCAACTCAACCCTACCCATTGCAGCCATTTAGGGAGGGAGCCAGCAGAGGAGAGATCTTTCTGTTTCTCCTTCTCTTTCTGTAAGTCTACCTTTTAAATAAAACTAATTAAACCTTTAGAAAAAATTTTAAAAATCAAAATGAAAATCTCTACAACTCTGTTCCACAATTGGGCTGTCTCACCTTCCTAGTCCTTCTCAGCTCCATGTTCCACCATCCACCACGTCCTTTCCAACTGACCACTTCACTGAGCAATAACCAACACATTGAAGCATCGAAGCATCCTGGACACACTCCTCGCCCATCTCCAACCAGGTATGTATACCTTTGCTTAGAATCTTCTCCAATTTACTCACTCTAAGAAGTGTACTAGTAGAAGAAGATTATTTACCACACTTTGGATAAGATGCTAGCACAATGTCATCACTTCTGGCTTCAAAGGTGTCCAGGGCTTGGAAAGTTTCAAAGGTACACATGGTGACTGGGTAAAGAATCTCTTGATAGGTGAAAAATAAGCGAGAAAGCGCAGTTTCTTTCGATTTTTCCAAAGCTTTATCAATGTATTTGATAAATTTGGAGTTTTCAGCCATGCTGGTCTCCTGTTTAATGAATCTGTCCTGTGGTTGTTCAGGAGCCGGGTTTGCTTTTAATGTAGTTCTTGAAGGGGCTGGGATAAAGGACTCCTCCTATTTACAAGAAAAATAATTTATTTAATTCTCACGTATCTCTTTCCGCTCTTGGTTATTATCTGTTGACAAAAGATAAGTCACAGGTGCAACCCTGACTGAGGATCAGGGAATACTACCCCAAGGATGGATTATAATACCATCTAGGCAATCCACCCAATGAAAATAAGAATGGAATCTCCAAGTATGAGAGAATAGATATTGAATGTCTAGCAAACAGGTGAGTAATTGAATTAAACATTCAACTTTCCTGTTAACTATTTACAGAATGAAGCAAGCCTTAGTTTTCCCCTGGACTGTTAGCTTTCCACACACATCCTATGCGAAGGGACAGTTGGGTTGTGAGGCAATTTAGTTCAGTTGACAAGAGCCAATATTTGGAGGGAATCCGGGAAATTAGGCTCAGATCTGCTGCTTAATGGCTCAATACATTCAGGGGTCTAAATAACTATTTGAACCACGGCTCTACTACTTAGCAGTTGTGTCATTCTAAGTTAATAACACTATGGCTCCCAAAGTTGTCGTGAAAATAGGGCTAGGGATTGCTACTCTCTTAGACCTATTCAACAATGCAATTCTATAGTTTGTAGAAGAGAGCCATGTTGAAAGGGGGACCCAAATTCAGTGATGTCTTCTGTCCTCTTGCTACTCTCAAGCTCTGGAGTGCATGTGGGAGGCAAAGTCTCCCCCAGCACCCACTCTCCTCTTTTCCCTTGGACGAGATAGCCTATGATTCCTGTCTCCCTTGCAGTGTGGTGTGGCCCTGTGGCTAGTGCAGAGTGGGTACAAGTGACTCGTGGAAGTTCTGGATTACGCGTGTCCTAAAACAAGAAGCTGGTAACTTCATCCCTTTTCCCATAGTTGGGTGGGAGGTATGATGCTGACACCAGATGTGGTAATTTGGCAAGGAATAGTGCTCCAGGGAATGGTGGGCTCGAGGGACAGAGGATGCTGAGTAACGCATTCCTCCTGGCACAGAGCATCTTTCCCACTTCCCGCCCCAAACAGAGCCTCTTCTGAACCGTAGCTGGAGGAGCACAACTATGCTTCATGCTGGAGCTCCCAAACTGTTGGGAGTCTCATTGTTACAGGAACTTAGTCCACAGCTTTTCTAGTTTAAATTATTTTTTTAGAATAAAGATTTATTTTTATTGGAAATTTAGATATACAAAGAGGAGGAGACACAGAAAGATCCTCCATCCATGACTCACTCCCTAAGCAGCTGCAGCAGGCAGAGCTAAGCCAATCCGAAGCCAGGAGCCCAGAGCCTTCTCCAGATCTCCCACTTGAGTGCAGAGTCCCAAGGCTTTGGGCCATCCTTAACTGCCTACCCAGGCCACAAGCAGGGAGCTGGATGGAAAGTAGGGCTGCTGGAATTAGAACTGGTGCCCATATGGGATCCCAGAGCTTTCAAGATGAGAATGTTAGCCACCAGGCTACTGCGCTGGACTCTCTAGTGTTTATTTTGAGTTCATATTTAGTGTCTTTGGCATCATAAGCCATGGCATCATAAGGTAGAATTACATATAGGTCTTCTATTAGCCAATTCATTCCCCCAATGGTTGCAACAACAGAGGTGGGGTCAGACTGAAGTCAAGATCCTGGAACTCCATCTGGGTCTCTCACATGGGTGCAGGTATCTAAGCACTTGAGGCATCTTCCACTGATGTTTCAGGTTCATTAGCAGAGGTTGAATCAGAAGTGGAGCTTCCAGGACTGAAACCTGTGCTGTGGTATGGGATGCTGTGGTGGTGGCTTACCTCTGTGCCATAAGCCAATTTTTTCAGAAACATATACTGTCTTCTTCTTATTTTTTCCCATTATCTTCTTCACATCCTTCTCCTTATCCTTTTCCCGTTTTTTCTGAGAACAGTGTCTTTTACTGTATTTTAACCAATGCCAACCAGTTAAGAAGTGACCTTGTTGCCCAGTCATTCACACATCAAAGGTATCAGCTGACAGTATTGCACACTTGCGTGTACACTCCCTGCCAAGCTGCTAACCTCACATGAGTGATGCAATGAAGTTTCATACTAGCCCCATAAAATTGGTGGTTCTATTAGTAGTAGTTTATTGTTAGCTTAATTAAGGCTTTTAGGGTCTAAGTAACTTAAAAAAAAAAAAAAGATTTTATTTGGAAGGAAGAGTTACAGAGAGAGGTGGATCTCTCTTCTGCTGGTTCACTTCCCAAATGACTGCAAAGGCTAGGGCTGTGCCAGGCTGAAGCCAGGAGCTTCATCTGGGACTCCCACGTGGGCACAGGAGCCCAAGCCTTTGGACCATTAGCAAGGAGCTGGGTTGCAGGTGGAAGCTTTATCTGTTAAGTACAGCACCAGCCCCAGGATCTAACTGACTTCTGGAGGGGAAGAGTCAAGGCCTGGGAGAGCAGGCGAGAAGACAGTTACAGTGAGCTCATGTAGATCACGGATCTCATGTGGATCACGGATCTCACATGGATCACGGATCTCACGTGGATCACGGATCTCACGTGGATCACGGATCACAGAACATATTTGTTAGTGCCGGTGAGTTCTTTCGTGCTTCCTCATCTGGTGCAAGAAAACAAGGCTCTGGGATTCTTCACTAGGAAAACCAATCTTACCTTTGAGAAGAGATCACACATGTACACACAGTGAGAAAGAGAGAGAGAGAGCAGAGTTCCCATCTGCTGGTTCTCTCTGCAAATGCCCGTGGCAGTTTGGGCTCTGTGGTGCCAAAGCCTGGAGCTGGGGATTCCACACAGGTCTCTCAGGTGGGCATCAGGACTGAAGCACGTGAGCCATCACCTGCTGCTCCAAGGGCACACATTAGCAGGAAGCTGGAATTGGAAATGGAACTTGGTGGAACTCAAACCAGGCACTCTAATGTGGGATGCGGGTATCCTGAGCAGCATTTTAACTACTAAACCCAACGCCTGTCATGAGAGGTGTTTGCATGATCACCAAGGAAATAAGATTCCCACATTCTAGAATACTGAATTTCATTTTCGGACAAACACTATACATACAGAGGTATGTATATATATATATTATACTGTCAGAAATACAAATATCTGGGAAAAAAATCTACCTCTTAGACTTGGGGAAATTGTATACATTGACAGAAAGCTTCTTACTAAAGCAGTGGTGGGAGAGCAGCTTTTTACGTCCATTTTATAGAGGGGAAGAATGCTGTATTTGTGAATATGTATTAAGCAGGAAAAACAAAATCCAGTTCACATAAAAGGTAAAGCCAGCACATCTGTCTTAAGTATTCTTATAGTTTCATGTACCACCTTCCCTAATGATGGGACAGCATTCACTGTAGCTGGGAAAGTCTATTCAAGAATCTCTTCCAAAAAAGAAGAAAGGGACTGGACTGAATCCCCTGCCGATCCGCTTAGGGAGATTATCCCTCTTATTCCAGTCTTTGTTTCCTGGGAGAAGATATAGAATTTAAGACATCAATTCCGACTTGGTTGTTTGCTTGCTTCTCGGTGAGGAGGCCAGTGGGCTGGCCCTTGTTCTGACACTCAGGCCTGTAATTACAGGAGGCTTGGGGATCTCTGGGATCCGTAATGTGAGCTCTGTTTTTTGTTTTGGTCGATGTGTCGCTGCCCTGAATTGTCTGGCACGCATGATGGAGGGGCACGACATGAAAGACTGCCAAAGAACCTCAAGCAACCTGGTGTGTTGGCACTGGCCTGCTAGTGAGTGCAGCGGGCGTCTCACGGGGTATGAAACCCCCTGTTGAAAATAAGTGGGTAGAAACCCCAAGATATCACCTGCCAATGGCCTGGTTCCTGCTCTGGGGGGCAGTTGTTTAGCAGGCTCACCTCAAGTTCCTTCCTTGCCATCAGACATCATCCTCTCTTTCTTCTTCTCTCTTTTTTTTTTTCTTCTTTTAGACTACATCTTACTGCTCCTGCCCCTAAAGGAGAAAACAGCTGTTAAAACATGTCAAGGGTAATTGAAATTAGGTGTGATTCGCCAAGCAGGACTCAGCTAGCTAGGGCTCCTCTCAGTCACTTGACCCAAGGCTAGTTTTGAGGGACTGGCAAATCAGCAACTCTTGTAGATTTTCATTTCTGTATAGCATGATTTGCTTAGGATCATGCTGTGCTTTTTCCCCTCTTCTTTACCAGGAGAAATCCTGCTTCCCAGTGCAGTTTGGGATTGAAATTTACCTTGCAATCACATGCCGAGGGAGAGTTTAGCCTGTTTGCATTTTGGCAGTTTACTAACCACTGGCTCGCATTTCAGAGTTGAACCAGAAGACAGAGATGGAGTGCACTGACAGTTGATCAAATACAATCAAGGTGGGTATGAGCTAATGATAATACATTTTGTGGCATTTTTTAAAAGATTTTGTTTTTAGTTGAAAGGCAGATTTTATAGAGGAGGAGAAACAGGGAAAGTCTTCCATCTGTTGATTCACCCCCCAAATGGCACAACAGCCTGGGCTGAGCTAACCTGAAGCCAGGAGCTTGTTCCAGGTCTCCCAAGTGGGTACAGGGGCCCAAGGTTTTGGACCATCCTCCTCTGCTTTCCAAGGCCACAAGAGGGGAGCTGGATGGGAAGTAGATCAGCCGGGACTTGAACCTACACCTCATGAGATGCCAGCACTGCAGGCCAAGGATTAGTGTGTAGTTCCACTGTGCCACAGCCCCAAGTTTTGTGGACCTTTTATGGCCTGTTGTTCAGATTCTTTTCTGTGCTGGTGTCTGTAGAGCTACAGCAATTCTCTCCTTTCGGGGATGGGGTAGGTGCCCCTTGAATAAGAATCTTGTGACTTAGAAGGTCAGAAACTCCTGCCCAGGTTTTGGGATCTGCTTGAAGGCAGAAGGGCAGGTGGGAGGTGACAGGGATCTCCTAGTGTCCGCAGTTTTCTCAAATGCCAAGGTGCTGTATTTTGGGGGGTAGTGTGTCACAATAGCCCAACCTGAGCCAGGCTGCAACCAGGAGCCAGGGACTTCTTCTAGGTCTCCTATGTGAGTATAGAGTCCCAAGGACTTGAGCCAGCCTCTGTTGCTTCCCCAGGCTGGGAGCTGGGAGCTGGATCAGCAATGGATCAGCTGGGATTTGAACCTGCACCCATATGGGATACCAGGACTATAGGCTTTGGGTAAACCAACTTTGCCACAATGCCATTTGCCACAATGCCAGCTCCAGGCAATTTCTTTCTTTTAAATAAATATTTAAAACATGCTTTGTTTTTCATGATACAGCTCCTTAGGCTCATTGATTTCCTCTTTGCCCTCCCCATGTTCTCTCCCCAAATCCCCCTGAATTCTACCAATAGTTTAGTCCTTCAACCACAAACACAGGTCCATCATTCTTCTACTTAAGTGTATCTGACATTGTAGGTATAGACAGTGGTATAAAGTCCAGTATTCTATTATCAAGATATATTTAACAGTTTCATTGGGAATCCATCTTTTCATTGGGAAGTGGAGGTACATACTGCAACATATCCCCACGGTATACTTGCCTCTAGTATACAGTTCCTCTAGATAAAAATATGTATACATATTTATATGTACCTACCTGTATATCTGTTGATCTTGTATTTAGCATTTGTCCTTTAGAGATTGGCTTATTTTGTTGGGCATGATGTTCCCTAGTTGGGAACATTTTGTTGCAAATGGTTTAATTTCATTCTTTCTTCTTTAATTCATTCTTTATTTCCACTGGAAAGGCAGGTTTGCAGAGAGAAGGCGAAACAAGCATTTTGTATCTGCTGGTTCACTCCCCAAATGGCCGCAATGGCTGGAGCTCAGATGATCTGAAACTAGGAGCCAAGAGCCTCCTCCTGGTCCTGCGCATGGGTGCAGGGTCCCAAGGCTTTTTGGGCAACCCTCCGCTGCTTGGACACACAGGGAGCTGGACAAAACCTGGGGTAGCTGGGACATGAACTGGAACCTATATGGGATCTCAGCAAAGAGGAGGATCAGCCAATTGGGCCATCATGCCAGCAATATCCTCCCTCACCCCCCGGCTGTTTCTTCAATTATAATTTACAACAGATTGTGTAGGGATGTGGCGAAAATGTAGATTCCAGTTCTGGCGATCTGTACTCCTAACAAGTTCGCAGACACTCTGAGCCTATTTCGCTTTGCACAAAACCATCCCGCCACAGGCTTTGGAATCAGTGTTCTGGGTTCATATCAGCGTTCTGTCACCATTTGTGTATTTATGAGCAGAATAAGCCTCTTGCCTGTGAAATGAGCTGTTACAGCACCTATGACAGACATCCTGGAAAGATGGAGAGAACTAATGCGGCTGGCAGTCACAGTGGGCTCCTGCTAAGAGCATAATAAACAGGACCCAGCGCAGTGGCCTAGCGGCTAAAACCTTCACCTTGCATCGGCCGGGATGCCAGCTGGTCGCCGGTTCTAATCCAGCAGCCCCGCTTCCTCTCCAACTCCCTGCTTGTGGCCTGGGAAAGCAGTCGAGGGCCTTGGGACCCTGACCGGCTCAGCTCCGTCCGTCGTGGCCACTTGGGGAGTGAATCATCGGACGGAAGACCTTCCTCTCAGACTCTCCTCCTCCTCTCTGTAAATCTTTCCAAAAAATCAATAAATCTAGAAAAGAAAAGAAAGAGCACAGCAAACGGACGAGGACCCTGGGGAGCGTAGCCGGCGCGGGAGGGGAGGAGCCTGAAGCGGGCACCCCTTGCGCATGCGCAGGCCCTCGGACGCGCGCTTCAGGTGAGGCTGGCTCGTGGCGCGCTGTGCGCGTGAGCCTGGGGCGCCTCTGGGGGGCGACAGGAGTGCTTTTGGGGGGCTGTGCGGGGCGGGCGTTTCCCCGTTAGGGCTCTGCGGTCCGGAAGTCCCTAGTTGCGGTTCGCAGGAAGGAACGCGGTGTTTCCGGTCCTTGGGCGACCTTGGCCCGACAGCCCGCGCTGTCGAGTGCGACCTGCGGGGCCGGGGAGCGCAGCGGTCAGCCGGGAGGTGGGTGGGAGCCAGGGCAGGATGCGGGGCGGCTTGGTGGGTTCCTGAGCGCAGGTTCCTGGAAAGCCAGGGCCGTGCTGCGTTCTCCGCGTCGGGCCTGTGGAGGCCTGGCTGTGAGCAGTCCCACCCGTGGCCTGCAGGAGCCAGAGCCGTGCAGGTCACCTCCGCGCGAGAGGGCCACCGTGGCGCGCAGGCTCAGTTGGCTCCCTTCCCCACCCTGCACCTGCTGGGGACCACCCCAGCCTGTATGTCCACAGGAGGCCGGCTGTCAGAGCGCCCCCTGAAGTCAGCCCCCCACTGTTCGGCCCGTCCTATGTGGAGAAATCGGGCTTTGGTGGCTTCATTCCACAGCTCCCACAGTTGAATTTGTTGTGGACTCGTGGGTCCCTGATGGTTTTTACCAGGTGGGCCTTCCCAGTTGTTAGGAACACATGCCTGAACCTCAGGGACTTGGAGTGTGAAACATATTTACCTATAAACGTAGATCTATATGTGTCATGTTAGGGAAGGTAAATGCTATGTTATACAGTATACTTTTGAGCTTTTGTTCTTAAAAAATTTTTTTTGTGGGGCTCTGCACTATGGCTTAATTGGCTGATTCTCCCCTTGTAAATATTGGGATCCCATGTGGTCACTGGTCAGCATCCCGGTGGCTCTGCTTCCCATGCAGCTCCCTGCTTGTGGCCTGGGAAAGCAGTGGAGGTTGGCCCAAAGCCTTGGGACCCTGCACCCACATGGGAGACTGGAAGGAGGCTCCAGACTTCTGGCTTTGGGTGGGCTCAGCTTTGGCCGTTGTGACCACTTGGGGAGTGAACCATATGGTGAAAGATCTTTCCTTAGTAAATCTGCTCTCAAATAAAGGAAGATGATAATTTACTTGAAAGGTAGAGTAGCAGATCTTCCACAAATACCTGGGACGGCTGTGCTGGCCTGGGGCCGGGCCAGATTTAGCTGTCCTGGTCTCCTGTGTGAGTGGCCCGAGGGGCCCAGCTACTTGGGCCATCTGAACCACACTCTGATATGGAAGGCTGGCAGGGTTGTTAAAAAAGCAGTGGTTTAACCTACGGTGCCACAGCATCTGCCCCGACCTTTATTTGCTTGAACACTCAGATTTTTTTTCTCTCTCAAGAAAACCAAGATTTTACTTGAATTACTTAGTGGGGAGCTTTCTGCGAAGAGAATGTATTGTACAAGGTTTCCCTCCCCACCTGTTCACTTATCTCTTGGTTATGAGCAAGCTCTTTGTAAATGTCTGCCCTTCTTTTAGGAACAGTGAAGATTTCACTTGTTAGCTTTATCAAAATGAGAAAAGTGGGGCTTGGGGGGAAAGGAACACTTGGTAATTTGCGGAGAATCCTACACAAGGATTGTGTGTGTGTGTTTTAAAGATTGATTTATTTTGTATTGGAAAGTCCAATACACAGAGAAGAAAGATCTTCCATCTGCTAGGTCACTCCCTAAGTGGCTGTAATGGCTGCAGCTAAACCGATCTGAAGCCAAGAGCTAGGAGCTTCTCCCAGGTCTCCCATGTGCGTGCAGGGTCCCAAGGCTTTGAGCCATGTTCAGCTGCTTTCCCAGACCACAGGGAGTGAGCTAGACAGGAAGTGGAGCAGCTGGGATATGAACTGGCACCCATATGGGATCCTGGTGCATGCAAGGGCAGGACTCTGGCCACTAGGCTACTGTGCCGGGCCAGAGGATTGGGTTTAATTGGCCTTCTTGGGCATGAAAAAGAGGCAGAATTGAAGAGCAGTCCACCAGCACTGCAGAGTGCTGGAGAATGGACTACTTCTTGACAGAATAGAGGATGGCTTGATACAGAACACACAGGATGAAACTGTGGTGGTCCTCTGAGTCCACTGAGCTACTAAGATCAGAGCAGAAACGTGGAGATCTTTGTGTAAAGGAAGAGTAATATGTTTTTATTGTTACATAGCTTTTCCCTCCCTCTAGCTTTAAATTAGAAAAGTGTAAAGACTCAAAGTACTTGTAAAGGTTGATGTGAACAGTAGAGCAAGAGAGAGTGACAGAAAAGAAATCGGCCTTCCATCTGTTGGTTCAGTTCCCGAACGGACACATTAGGACTAAGGTGGGCTGAAACCAGGAACTACGAACTCCATCTGGGTCCCCTGTGTGGGTGACAGGGAGGCAATTGCTTAAGCCATCGCCTGCTGCATTTGGAGGCTCAGCCTCTGGAACTTGAAATCTGACGAGGCCCAGATGCATCCCAAGGGGAGGAGGCTTAGCGTGCTGTGCCACATCATCTGCTCCCAAATGCATTTTCTTGGTTAGCAAAAGAAGAGAATCAGGAAGTCGTGAGGCTTCATGGAGTCATTGTCTAATCAGCTCCCCACTCGTGAAATCCGTAAGTTATCTGGGGTACCACCCCCTCTATTTCCCGAGTCAGAGTTTGGAGGCTGGGGCCCAGGAATACAATTTATTTATTATTTTTTTTTTAGCAATACAATTAAAAAAAATTTTAAATGCATTTAAAAAAAGGAACCCAGAGAACTTCCATTACTGGTTCATCCTCAAATGGCCACGAATGCTGGGGCTTTCTCGTGGTGGCTTCCCACATGGGTGGCAGGGTTCTAAGTACACAAGCCATCCTCCCCTGCTTCTTGGGATTAGCAAGAAGTGGACTGGAAGAAGAGTAGTCAGGACATGTACTGGTACTCAAATAAAGTATCAATGTCACAACAGCAAGTTAACTCACAATGTTAGTCCCAAGATGTGATCTTTTAAACCTCTTGGGTGGTACAATTGCCGGTCTAAACAACCTGGAATAGCAGCTCCTGAGGAACAATAGGTTATTTTGTGACTCAACTTTGTATTCTCAGCATCCAGTTACTTGGGACCAATGTAAAACAGGTATTTAGTAACCTAGGTGACAGTTGAAACTGGAAGCGAATTAGTTACTTTTACAGAGGTGACAATGGAAGGTTAAGTATGCTGATTCAAGTTTATGCCTATTTATTAAATTTAGGATGGCCCGCACTATGGAACCACTGGCAAAGAAGATCTTTAAAGGAGTTTTAGTAGCTGAACTGATGGGTGTTTTTGGAGCATATTTTCTGTTTTCAAAGATGAACACAAGCCAAGGTAATGATAATTCAGAAACTAGTGTTTTTAAGCAGTTTATTTAATTCACTTTAGGTGTTAAATGGCAGTGCTCTTTTTGGAGAAACTGCCTTCTTCAGGTTCAGTGTATTCTTTATTTTTTAAATGGCTCAAAGGGGAAGCCAGGTCTTATTTTGGACAATCACTGTTACTTCTCCCTGAAGTTTCACAGCTCTGGAGGTTCACCAATAGGGAAGGCGGAGTAGCTTTGTCCTGGCTTACTCTGGGCGCACAGGTCAGGGAAGCTTAGCCCGCCCGGTAGGCAGCATTGTTTAGGAAGAGACGGCCCTGCTGGATTCTCCCAGGAACAGTTTTCTCTGGCAGGCTCTAGTAGTCTTTCTCTGCATCAATAGTGCTTAAAAAAAAAAAGCCTTTCCCATGCTGCTACAGAAAGTACTTTTTAATTGTGTGGATGGAAATTGTGTTATAGACCTTCACTTCTTAGATTAAGGAATGCTGCTTTTTTCTTTTCCTAAAACAGAAGTTTGTCATTTGTTTTCCTTATTAGTATTTCACTGAAACACTGTTAAGAGGGTGTTAATGGGTGTCGATATATTTTTAAACTCTTAAGTAGGATATAAAGAACATATTGCAGCAGTACGTAAATGCTAAGTTTGGGATCAATTTTAAAAACGCAGGGTCTTATATCTAATGCCTTCTCAAGGTAAAATGGTATAAAAACATAAAGCTACATAAGAGAACTATGTGTTGACACTGAAATTTTGCTTAGCTATCATTTATAAATAATTACATAAGGTATATGCATTTTTAGAAAGTTTAAATAGCTATAAGGCAGCTTTAACTTGAGTGCAACTGAAATGCTATGAAAGCTCCAGTTCGTGGATTAGCAGAAAGCCTGTACACTTCCATTATTTTATTATCATATACACCCTAAAATGATAACTGGCTCTGTTTAAATTTCTATATGTATCTGATTTCAAGATTTTTTTTTATGCCATCAGATTTCAGGAAAGCAATGAGCAAGAAATTTCCCTTCATCTTGGAAGGTATGCTTTTCGTTTTAAACAAGTTACAGAACAACATTTTTGGGTCATCTGTAGGAGTGATTTTACTTTTTGACACATCAGTGTCCAACAATGCTATTCATCACTGTGTTCCTTCTAGAATACAAAATAGAGCAAATCGTCACCCAGCAGTATTCAGAGGACAGCAGCGTTAGCTAGCGGGCCAGAATGTCCTGGCAGTAAGGCTAGACTTTGGAATGAGGTGTAACTCGGTGGAAATGAAGCTGAAGCAGGGCCGAGGCTTCACCCCAGGTTGGCTAACTTCTCGGAGCTGTGTTTTTCTCCCCACCAAGTACTTAATCCCTATCTTCAAGGAACTGTTGTAAGGAATGAACAAGTGACATTGTGTGTGTCGCGTATTGTAACATTTAGTACTGCTCATTCCCATGATTAATGAAAATACTAGTTAGCACCCATGAAATATGTAATTCCACCCTCATTATGTAGCAATGTGGGGAAAAATGATTTTCCCCAATCATAGTCTTTGTAAATGACTTTTTATATGACTTTGTAAATGACAGCTGTTTTATTTATAGTTTATTACAAATCAGTTGAACAGTCTGGAATGTATGGGATCAGAGAACAAGATCAAGAAACATGGTGTAACAGCAAAAACTAGGAGTGGAGTAAGTAGAATTTTAATTCATAATAAATAACTCATTTCCTTTGCTTTTTCGTTTTTTGAGTGAATTTCAGCTTTTTCTTTTTGAAATGTTTTTTCTTCCTGAGGATGCTTTTCACGTCTCTGTTGTGCAGCCAGTTGTCACGTTCGGCCTCCCATTTCAGCTGCTTGAGACCTTAGGGAAGAGAAGACCCGTGAGCCCCCGCGGTGTGGACTCGACTCCCAGACAGCAACCTGTGGTCTGCGTGGCTGCAGTGTCCCGCCCTCCGTGCAGATCCACTGCTGGCAGCTCTCCAACTTTACTGTCAAAGGCTAATGTTTTACCAATAAAAGACTAAGGAAGGGAAAGGAACAAATGGCTTAAAGATTTTCTTTCCCTGGAACACTTTCACTTGTGAAATAAAATCAACATCGGGATCAAATTACCTTTAGCATATAGTTACACAGCAAACACACACACACACACATTAACATATATACATGCATTTACACACACATATGTATATTAAAAGCAGATCTCTGTAAAAAAAAAAAATTGTGCCTGGTATTCTTTGCTGTGGTCTAAATATTTCTTAAAGCAATCCCTTCCACGTTGTAAGGCACCATTAAAATGATCCTCCAAAAGTATTTATCTCCTAGTTCTAACTGAAGGCAATTACAAAAAATTCAAGTTACTTACTTGCATTATCTTTGTTAGCCATGGCATTCAAGCCAATGTTATCAAACTTTGATCCCATATTTTCATCCAACAAATGGCCAAACTTAAAAATAAAACAAAAAACCAAAGTTTATTGGAAAGCTCACAATTTAGAATAGCTAAATACACTGCTTTAGTTTATTAGCCCTACCTCTTCAGCAGATACAAATAGGCTGGCGTCATTGGCATTTCTCTTCTTTTTCTTTCTTGGTCCTAAAAAAAAGTATGTATTATTGAAACATAAATGTAATGATTTTAGAGAAATATAAATCTTAACATATTTGACTAAAACAATCATAATTATTTTCAAGCACTATAGGGTAGCTCGCACTGAAAAATTACACTACATTGGATTTAAAAAAAAAAACCAATGTAGTAAAACATATGATAACTAGTACTGCTGCCCTTTAGACTTGGCTGCTATTCAAAATATACCCTTAGGAGAGATACCATGGTATCAAGCAAGATTAAAACTGGAAAGTTGACGTGGATGGGTTTTAGAATATTTTAGTCAAATAAAAACTTTGACTCAGAGGGCTTATTCTTTGGTCTGAGAATATTGGGTTGGTGCTGTGGCATACTGGTTAAAGCTATCACCCACAAGACCAGCATCCGCATATGGTGTGCTCCAGCTGCTCCACGTCTGACCCAGCTCCCTCCGAATGTGCCTGGGAAGCCAGCAAAAGGCAGCCCACGTCTTTAGTCCCCAGGACTCGTGAGGGAGCTCCTGGCTCCTGGCTCCAGAATGGCCCCGCTTTAGCTGTCATGGCTATTTGGGGAGTGAACCAGTGGAAGATCTCCTCTTACTCTGCCTTTCAAATAAAAGAGGCAATTCTTAAAACCGAAAAAGATGATTAGAAGTATGTTTACCATGTTATAAATGAAGTTTTGTTTATATTACCGAAAATAAAGACGTTTTCATACAACAAGGTCACTTTGTTTGGGACATATAAACTTCTCAAAGTAAGAAAAGGAGTAAAACGTTTTTAAATAGTTAATTCAAATCACATCACTAGAAATACTGCTCTTTTAATCATTCTCTCAGTGTCAAAGATTACTTACCAGTTCCATCTTTAACATCAATGTTTAGGGCCCAATGCGGTAGCTTAATGCTTAAAGCCCTCGCCTTACACATGCTAGGATCCCATATGAGCACTGGTTCTAATCCCAGCCACCCAGTTTCCTATCCAGCTCCCTGCTTGTGGCCTGGGAAAACAGTCAAGGGCGGCCCAAAGCCTTGGGACCCTGTACCTGCGTGGGAGACCCGGAAGAGCTCCTGGCTCTTGGCTTTGGATTGGTGCAGCTCTGGCCATTGTGGCTGCTGGAGGAGGGGTTGAATCAATGGATGGAAGATCTTGCTCTGTCTCTCCTCTCTGTGTAGCTGACTTTTCAATAAAACTAAAATATCTTTTTTTTTTAAAATCAATGTCTCTAGCACTAGTAGAAACACTTTAAAGATTCATTCACTGAGTGGCAGTGTGATAAATGGGAAAAGACAAAGATCTTCATCTGCTGACTGACTCACAAAAAGCCACAGTGACTGAAGCGGGGTCGGGGCCAGAAGCCTGGCAATCTTTTGCAGCTGGGACTTGAACTGGTCCTGTGATATGGGACACTGGCACTAAATGTTACAGTCTAGTTAACTATACCACATCACTTGGTTCACTCCCCAAATAGCTGGGGTGGCTGGAGCTCAGCCAGTGTCAAGCCAGGAGACAGGAGCCTCTTCTGGGTCTCCCCAGTGGGTGCAGGGACCCAGACACAGGCCATTATCAGCAGACTTACATCCAGAACTGGTGCCTGTGTGGGATACCGGTGCTGCAGGCAGCAGCTTTACATATGAAGACACAACACCGCCGGATCGACTTTTGGTATCCACACTTTGTGAAGCACTTCATTGTGATTTTTAACTAGGTGAAATGTTATCTAGGAATTGGAAAATACCCTTGGCACAATTCTGTACTGCTTTGTTCAGGCCTGTAGAGTATGAATGATATCTAAATATAGCAAGCAAAGCAGCAGTGTTTACTTGGCCCCGCCTCCCCTAATGTCAATCACTAAATCTACTTAGAATTTGCCTTTGGTTGTTTTTTTCAGTTCTGTTAGGCATCCTTCAACCTGCAGCCAAAATTGTTACTGAGATTTGAAATTCAGAACAAGTTCCTTACAATTCAAAACCAAGTCACTGGAACAGCATCTTATTTAGCAATGGCCTCAGCAGAGCCCAAGATGAAGCACTTCTATTCTATGTGAGTGATAATTAGGGCAACTGCCTTCTTTGAGCATATGCTGCTACTGAAATGTGATCTTAGATCACTCAAACAACGGAAATTTGTAAGCTAAATGTTAAATACACATCAGTTTAAATCATCTATTACAACACATTGCCAGCAAGTTAATTCACAGAACTGAAACAAATTTTGTAGGCGTCTCAGGCCATTATCCCCACATAAATTAAAAATATTTTAAAATGCTTTAACTTTGAAAATCTTTTTTCTTTATCAATATTTACCAGTAAGCAGAAGTCACACATGAGAAAAAAGCAAACAGTGTTTTCTATGTTTTTATCAAAACCTTAATTTAAGATTTATTTATTTTTAAGTCATATATCCGGAGAGCAGAGACTCATGGATTCACTCCTCAACTGGCTGCAACAGCCGAAACTGTACCAATAGGAAGTCAGGAGCGCGGAGCCTCTTCCAGGTCTCCCACACGGGTGCAGGGTCTCAAAGCTTTGGGCGATCCTCAACTGCTTCCCCAGGCCACAAGCAGGGAGCTGGATGAGAAGTGGGGCTGCCGGGATTAGAAGCAGCGCCCATATGGGATCCTGGCGTGTACAAACAGAGGACTTATGGCGCCAATTTAGCCACCTAGGCTACCATGTTGGGCCCCAAAACCTTAAGGTAAGCAATGTTAGAGAACTGACAGAAAGGATTCATATCTTTTATATTACTGAGATCAGATTTGTTTTATCATGGCAGCAAAACTACATGCCATAGAAAAGGAAAATGAAATTTAAAAAAGCACAGATTTTTACAAGGGTCAAATGCAAAATATAATTGAGAAAAGGAAAAAGATAATAAGTGTCTGGAAAACTCAGTGCTTACATTTAGTTCACTGGTTTCAACATGAAGAGAAAGACTTGGAGATTTAAATCTGAGAACTTAAGAAGAGAAAGTAACTGAAGGTGTGTGAGTTTAACACACTAAAAAATACAATGTAAAAACAACTGCCCTGTGCCCTCAGGGCCAGCCCTGTATCACAGCTGGCATCCCATGGGCACTGATGTGGGTCGTGGCTGCTCCCCTTTGCACACTCCTCCCTGCTACCGCACTGGGGAGCAAAGGAAGATGGCCCAACTGCTTGTTCCTTTACCCGTGTGGAAGACCTGGAAGAAGCTCCTGGCTCCCGCCGCTGGCCTGGTCTAGTCCTGTCTGGCAGGGACTAGGAGAGCGAACCAGTGCATGGAATATGTATCTTTCTGAATGTCTCTCTGCCTTTGAAATACATATATATATTTTTAAAAGATACACATTTTCTTACCTTGAAATGAGCCAGTAAAATCGAAGTCATCTGCACTTTTTCTCTTGCTTCTCTTGGTACTGATTTCTTCAAGATCTGTTACCCCAAAAATTTATGATTGAGAAGTTAAAAAATAGTATGATTAAGAAAGTAATTCCAAGAGATACGCTGGAATCCGCAATCCAGGGGGCAAGGCACTGTACTGCTGTTCCACTAACACAGGCTTGGATGACAGAGATCAAGACTAGGAATAACTGGCATGGTGGCATGTTTTGTGCAAGTATTTTTACTAGTATTTTTTCATCAATGAGACCAAGTATAAAACTCCTTCCAACCAGAATCTGTATGCTTAAGAATGAGCAGCAGGCTGCAGCACCGACGAGGGTGCGCACTGGGGCCTGTGCAAGAACACAGAGATCAGACAGCAGCCCCCAGTGACAACTGGTGATTTCTGCTCATTTATAATATGACAAAAGCATTCATCTATGTTACTGTTTATTAACGAGAATCAGTATTATTCTACATAACAGCTCAATTGGTATTATACAGCAAAGCCAAATGTTGATTAAAATCAAAGTCTAAAACTCAAAATTCACCTGATCAACCAAACCATGCATAAGTTTCTAATGAGAAGGACAGGGGTTCTTTTTAAATTTTTACTTGATATGTGAATATCAATTTGAATACAGGGCTCTATTTTAAAAAAGCTTCAGATTGTGGATGAAAGGAAGATGAAATTTCTGTTATTAAAAAAAAAAAGACAATCCTTACCTGGAACACCCTCGTTTTCATCGTCTGACACATCCATGAATGTTCCCCCGTCTTCATCAAGTTCAGCAAATTCTTCCTCCATACTTCCTAAAGAAACTTCGTCATCATCCAGGTTATCAAGTTCATCATCACTGTCCTCGGACTCTTCATCTTCCAGATTATCCTTAGCTCTTTTAGATTTTTTTTTCATATTGCTGAGGAAAATGAACAAAACAAAACCAAGCTTGTAAAAGGAGGTGGTGCTTTTCAGAGTATATTTTAGGGACTGAGTAGTTAAATGACTTAAATGGAGCCAGATGGACCACTTGGAAAATACACCTATGTGTATGAATGATAAATGTTCAAAATGAATGTGCTGTGGCTACTCCCAAACTTCTTGAATACTTCCCCCCGCTCCTCAAACAGTCTGTGCTGTGATGTTCTGGAGGAAGAGATTATGGGAGCTACTAGGAAGAGAAATGAGAAGAACAAAGGAAAGTGCTTTACCTAGCAAAATCAAGATCGTCCTTTCCAGGCGTAAAACAATTATCATCTTCAAATGTGTCTGCCAGAGAGTAACATACAAACTATATCAGACATAACAAACAACAAGGTGGACACGTCACATCTGAATCAATTACTGTTACACAAAATGGTGATTTGTTTATGATGAATAAACACCACAATGATATAGCTGTGACTT